GCGTGCGTGCGCACGCACAGGTGCACACACTGCTCAAGTCCACTAATCACTAAATAGGCAGTTGGAGATACTCAGAAGTTTATAAACTGGATCCGTCTAAAAAAAGAGGGAAAAAGTGATTTTAATAAAACAGGTAACATTTTTGGCTTCAATATATTGCAGTTTTTGTGCGAAATTGTTATTTGCGTTGTTGATATTCGTGATTGATTGCAAAGAACCGTCAGTTCTGCTGGGAAACAAAACGATTTTTCTGCTGCTGATGGACCAAATCTTCTGTTCTATGCTACATATGGTGCGTGTACCACGATACCACGTTTTGAGAACCTCTGCCTTGATGAGAGCGCATATTGTGCCATTAACCGCTGTTATCGCGCTCTGAGTGGAAAGAAGATAATTTATCAGCGCATACGCGTAACGTAGGACTGAGTCTCGTGGACGTTGAGATCAAGCGGTTGTCGATATGAAGGCTGTAATACAGCGTGTGTCGAAGGCTTCGGTTTCAGGTAAAGTTACAAATTGACAGTTACAATTGGACCTTCTGTCAGTATGTTTACAAATAAATCTGCATAAATTTGTAATTCGCGAGATAAGAGGAAATTTATGGTGTATCTGGGGAACCAATGTCGGTGCCAAATACTTGCAATTTACATGATTAATAAGAAGTAACTTGAATTATATACATGGAATATTGTGCAACGACGGTTAAGGCCTAAGTATGATTTTTTAGTTGATGGTGAAGTTATTAGTAGCATTGGGAATGGACTGTGCGTGTTAATTGGTATAAAGAGAGATGATGGAGCAGCAGATATAAGATACATGTAATGAAACAATATTATAATAAGTACTTATAGTTATGTATACAGTATTGTGTAGAGCCTGAACGTTAATTTCTCTGTCGTAGTGTAAGAAAGATACTGAATACCAAAATTTTTGACGACGCCAAGGGTAAAAAATGGGGTGCCAGCGTAGCGGATAAGAAATATGAAATATTATGCATTAGTCAGTTCACATTATACCATGTATTGAAGGGAAATAAGTTAGATTTTCACAGAGCGATGCCCGCACAAGAATCGGAACCCTTTTACATGAATTTTCTTACCGAGCTTCGTAAAGAGTATGTCCCAGAATTGGTCAAAGGTAATGTAATCTAATCTAATACAAATGTGTATAATCCGTCCTTTTATATTTTGCTTGGATATATAACAAATCAGTTGTCGAAGAATTTTGAAATTTCATTCATGACAAATTTATGCAGATGGTAAGTTTGGTGCAATGATGGAAGTTTGCATACAGAACAGCGGGCCAGTAACGCTGGAAATAGAATCCCCAACTAAGTCCACTTGTAATGATAATACTGGGAATGTAGAGAACAAGAAAGTATCCGATTAAGCAAAACATCTATTTATGTGTTACAACAGATTATTCAATAAACTTATATTGAATGTAACATATAGTGTATACGTGTTTATTTAACCTATTCATCATTTTTTGAATCAATTTTTTCTCCAAAATTTAAATGTCTATTATACAACAATATATATTTAGAATATATTACATTTATTAATATTAATATCCGTTATTAAAGTACAAGTAATTGTAAGATATTGGATTCTTAACACTGATATTATACACTGATATAGTAAAAATTAAACAATATATTAATAAGCATAATTTTATATATTAAACTAGACATCAATTGTATATATTGTCAATAATTTACTTCTAAATATATTTTAGTTTTTATTAGAATATTTACATACATATGTCTAAATTGCTTTTTAAAATATGATATTTTGTCACGGATACTTTGAACGATTAAAACGACTAATTGTGAGTTAGATTATCTCATATAAAATCGAGTTCTGTAATTTTGTTTCAGATGCTGACTAGTGAAATTGTAACATTCAATAATCTGCGTTTAATAATCAACAATGGCAACCTCTGAAGAGAAAAAGAACATTATACAAAATGAGAGTGGCAAATCAGGAGAACAAAATCCAGGTACAAATTTATTTCAATACATAAGTGTACTATTAAAAGAACTAGTTAACATGTTACTTTAATAAAAAGAATTTATTTTAGATAAGGAGATTGCAGGGACTGAGATAAAGAATACAGAAGATACAAGCAGAGTAGATAAATCAAAAATAGACGAATCATCTATTCCTAAAAATGATATATCCACTAATCAACGACAGGTATAATACTTTTTTTCCCCATACGATTAATTACGTTATCAATATTCTTATGACTATTGTAACTTTAGACACGCGAGAGTCAGACAGACCATGAGGATACAGAAACTACAGAGCAACTGAAAAATCAGCTAGGTGTGTTAATGAACCAATTGGCCACTCTATCGGCAGAAAAGTCAAAAATGGAAGCGAACTTCCAAATGGACAAGAAACAATTGAGAAGCGAACGTGACGAAGTAAGATGAGAAGTTTGACATCTGTCCTGTTATCAGAATTGTTCAATTGAGCGTTAATGTTTGCAGTGTGAAAAAGTAATTAAAGATCTGAAAGATAGGCTGAAGAAGGCTCAAAATGTCAATCATTCCGAAATCGAGCATGTAAAGTGCAAATTAATCATGGAGCGGCACGACAGAGAGAAAGAACACGCCGACTTTGTCAAAAAGATGAGGTAATGAATCCATTTTTTCTAATTATGTAAAATTATATCACTCGTGATATGTTTACGCACTACAAATATAAAAATAAACAATGTTTTCGTAATAAAACTACGAACTGTATATCCGTGAACGACATTCTTGCAGAGAATTACAGAAATTACTATACGACGAGCAACGCAGCAAGGAACAGTTGGAAGGACAATTGAAGACGCATCTCGCGAATAAAACGCAATGCAAGATTCTCGAAGCCGAGCTAGAAATTACCAAGACCAAGCTCAAACAAGCCGAAGAAGCTGCGAAAGAGACACCGCCGCATCTTCTTTCCTTACAAGCCGAGATGGCTGTGATGAAAAAGCAACATTTGAATGCGATTCGTGAAGTAAAGCTCGCTGAGAATTAATTAGCACGTTATACGACAAAGTTGTCGGATATAACAAAGTTAAGCAATACGTTTTGATGTAGGAGCAAAAAAGAGCCGCCGCTGCGGAGCAGCAAGCGAGAGGATCGGTCATCATGCACGAGGCGAGAGTGGCTGGCTTGGAGGCTCGATTAGCTGAACTCTCCGAGATCGTTGGAGGCTACGACAGACTGAGGCAACAGGACCAATTAGCCATTCAGAAATTAAAGGACCAATTGGCTGCTTTGCAGGATACCGAACACAGCGAAGTTGTGACGTCGAGTAACCACCCGGAGGAAATTATTTCCAAGATAAAGTCCCTGTATACTCGTTTGCTGGATCTTGACAATAAAAAGAGGGACTCGACCTATGTAAAATGTAAGTGACATTAACATGTTCGATAAAACGTGAAAAATAGAATAAGAATTTGAATAAATGATTCAAATATATATGTTTTACGTTTAGCATTGTTGAATATTTTGGATCTGCGGGATGAACATCCTGATTACAAGGAGAAATACGACGCGCTTTTACAAGAATTTGAAGATTACAAACATCAAGCAATGTGTAAATATAATATGTCATCTAACGTGCTCCGTAGTACTCAACAACAAAGACACAGCCTGTCTCTGATGCATGATAAAGATCATGATAAAACTCAATTAAATCTCCTCAAGGTTCATAACAGCAACTTGGAGGAAAGGATACGTATGATTAACAATGAAATGATCAGTAAAGAGAGAGTTTTACAGGAACAATTGGAGCATCAACAAAAAGTAATTATTTTTCTAATAATCAATTTTAAAAGTAGTCAAAAATTTTCAAATCTGTATTACTTTTGTTGAAAGTTTTTATGTATTTAATCTTTTTAATTAAAAAACTAAAAGCCAAACTTTATCCTCAGTTATTTCAAGAAGAACGTTCGAAACTGGAGCACACGTTGCATCAAAAAGATAACGAGTATCGTAATAGAATATCTATACTAGAACAACAATTACTGCGACAAAGAGAGAGATCTATGGCTCTCGTGGAGGAAAAGGATAAAGAGATATTAACTCTAAAAGCATCATTTCGCGCATTGTTACCTAATAAAGAGACTTCTGGTACGACGGAAAATAAGGCACATTTGAAAAGATACGAGAACACCATCGAGCCGGTCACAGATCTGGTAACGGGATTGTTGACGAACGATAGTCCTCCGATACTGCATTACACTCAAGAATTAGCCAGGAAGGAGGTGCAAGTGTCATCATCAAGGAAGAAAATTCTGGAATTGGAGGCAACGATGAGAGAGCAACAGAGAGAAATGCTCCATATGAAAGAACAGCAACAGGAGGAGATTAAAAAGTTGAAGGCGCATATCACTAGGTAATCATAACACAATATCGATGAAAATAATTAATAAAATAGATATTTTCGTACGGAACTAATAAAAAGATTTATATCGCAGGCTGGAAGCGTGTAAATCGAGAGAGGGTGCTAATCTGGAATATCTGAAGAATGTATTTATAAATTATTTAACAACAAACGACGCGTCGAGCAAACGGCACATGTTAAATGCCATTTCAACAGTATTGCGTTTTACATCTGACGAGCTGAGTAAAGTTAAACATTAAGAATAGATATTTTTTTATTATGGCTATATTTCTCACATAGAAAAAATAAATATACAAACGGATATGAATTCTCTCAATAAGGTTTCTAGTTTCTATAAATCATCCACAGTATAACCAGTATGTTCACTCTTTGTCGGCATCCTTGATCTATTAGTTTCCGATTTTCCGCCATTATTTTGGGCGGACCATCGGTGTATCAATGTTAAAATGGGCCCCGATTTTCAGAATTGACTGTGATTAGGTCAATTTCTTAGGGCTTAGGGCTTAAAACACCTATTGTAGACTGGGACTAAGTCTTATGTCTTCCTGTAAACAAATCTCCCGTTACAAATCTATCTTTCTCTTCTTAGCGTGATCTGTGCGGTAATTATGAATGAGGCGGGGGGACTTATTGGGAATAAAGAGTAACAATTAATAACACAAGCACATAAAAAAAATTGTTAAATAATTTTTGATCCGGAGATTAGACCATAGGGGTTTTCATACGCAATCGCCTACGCGGACGCAACATCAAACGCAAATAATGATAAATTTCGCGCAAAAACTACAATTTATTCAAGTCGAATGTGTTTCCTTTTTTCTTCCTTTCAAAAGAACCTAAAGTTGAGTCCGCCTCCGACTGTTAATACATAGATACATGTATATACATACATACATGTATATGTTAATAATACATACATGTCTCACGCTGACGTGGAATATATGCGTGACGTACATACATATGTTAGCATTATCAGCGCCTACTATACATACATACATGCTCGTGTCGAGTAATCGTAGAGGAGGTCTGAACCCGAGATGATTACGAGAAACCTATTCCGAAGCGTTCCACGCTTTCACCGCGCTCTACTACAGGTATTCGCAATACGTGTGCCTTATAAACAAATCGCTCATTCGTTCTTGATCATTTGTGAGATGTTGCGCGATAAACTTTTATTAATTCTTTCCCTCCTCCTCTTCTTTACCTTCTTCTACCTTTGGTATATGTATATTTTTTTAGACAAAACAATACAGCACCGGATCAAGCGAACCGCAGTTCCTGGGAATCAACACTAACTTTACAGATAGTGTTCAGTTCGTCAATGGAGATAGTTATGAACCAATTCCGATATATAGGGTTTTGGAGTTTTCGCAGAAGGCTAAATTACCTGAAGATAAAAAGGTTTAATATTAACAGAATTAAAAAAGTCACATATCACAATTTAAGGATATATAATATATATATATTTTTTTAATTTTACAATATGCATATATATATATATATATATATATATATATATATATATATAACATTTTTTTTAATGTCTACTTCTAAATGACTCCAACTTTTGTCACACACACACACTTATTTCTTTCTGAAAATTCTATATAAAGATAGAATTAAATTTTGGGCAATATAGTTATATCTGATTTAAGCTCAGTGAGCGTTGGCCACAAATAAAATTATAAATGAAATTAAAGTAAAAATTAGACAATATTGAAATAAGGTACAGGAAACTGAACGTTATTCTTGCATTACAGCTAAACGACGCGTATCTAGTGAAAATGTATCGCGATATGGTGACCTTAAGCGTCATGGACAAGATTATGTACGAGTCGCATAGGCAAGGCCGCATCTCGTTTTACATGACAAACACCGGCGAAGAGGCTGTACAGATCGGCTCCGCCGCCGCTTTAACGTTGGAAGACAAGATCTACGCGCAGTACCGCGAGGCTGGTATGAAATTGCATTATACGTTATTCGTCCGTCGTTACACGACATCCAAAATATTGTAATATACTGATAACAGGCGTGTTGCTGCACCGCGGGTATCCATTAGTGAAGTTCATGAATCAATGTTATGGCAACTGCGAGGATGACGGCAAAGGAAGGCAGATGCCGGTGCACTATGGTTCCAAAGAGTTAAATTTCACAACTATATCGTCTCCGTTAACAACTCAACTTCCGCAAGGTAATGACAGTCACCAGATTGTCAAATAGCGCCAACAATTGTTGCTTCATTCAACACTTCCATTGTCGCGATCAACGGACGAGTGTTCTGAAACAAAGGTCTTTACTTGTGCAGCTGTGGGAGCTGCCTACGCCTTTAAGTTGGATAAAAAGAACGCCTGTGTGGTTTGTTACTTTGGCGAGGGTGCGGCGAGCGAGGGTGATGCCCACGCGGCGTTCAATTTCGCAGCCACTCTATCGTGCCCCATCATTTTCATCTGGTAATTTTTTAATAATCCTCACGTTCTTATTTCATAGAATGTACGCGCAATAATCAGATATTGTTCCAATCAGTCGAAACAACGGATATGCCATCTCCACGCCAGCGAGGGAACAGTTTAAGGGGGATGGTATCGCGGCCAAGGGTCCGGCTTACGGAATTAATACGATCCGAGTGGACGGCAACGACGTGATCGCGATGTACAATGTCACAAAAAGTGCCAAGAAGTTCTGCGTAACACAACAGAAACCCGTCTTGATAGAAGCCATGACCTACAGGTGGGAGGATATATATCTTGACAATCTTATCTTTTTCGCTGGAATACTTTCTGCAGAGCAAAAACTTTGGGATAATTAATAAGTTGCGCATTGTAAAAAAAAAAATCTTTTAGACTCGGACATCACAGCACGTCGGATGACTCCACGGCTTATCGATCGATCGACGAGATCGCTCAATGGAACGCCCATCCGCCGCTTGCAAAGTTCCGTCTGTATCTGGAGTCGCTTGGATTATGGTGTGAAAAGAGAGAGCAGGAATTAATAAATTCCACGAAGAAAGAAATCCTTCGCGCCATTGAGGATGCAGAACGAAAGTCTAAGCCACACTGGGAGAATCTATTTACAGATGTCTACAAGGAAATCCCTGATCACATCAGGTATGCTGATACAATATACAATTGCAAATATGATAATTAGAATTCTTAGTATTTAACTCTCAGCAATTTCAACATTTCACAATTTCAGGAAGCAAATGAGTCTAATGGAGAAGCATTTAGAAGAATTCAAAGAACATTATCCATTAAGCTCTTTCACGCATACAAAGTAAGGGGGAGGAATTTATCTTTTGTTTAAATGTTGTGAATTTTTATACTCTTTTATTTTAATAATATAAAGTCCTAAATAATTAACAGAACACTGTATAAGAACACTCCTTAACAGACTCTCCTTGCCTTTCGTTTCTATTGTTTTATATTGTCCGCGACTTCTTTATACTTTTCCATCCTATATTCCTTCTTTGCCGCATCGAGTAATAGATTATGAAGTAAATTTCGTTCGTGTGGATTGTACTGTTCTACGCTTGGGTATATGTTGCCTGAAAAGATGATAAAATTGCTAAATAAATGAAGTTTTTGCTTGGCTTAAGAATCTTTAGGGTAAAACCTACCTCTGAGTTCTAGAATTGCCCTCTCGTAGTACTGTTCTGGATATATATGTGGCGCTTTGTGAATTTTTGTGAACGAGGTGGTATAATTTTGATACCTCGGCACAAGAACTTTGAACAGCTTGTGCACCAGTTCCTTCTCGATTATCCAGAAGTTAGCCATGTCCATCGTCTCCTTGTGAGCAGGTCCATGACGTATCGCCTCGGATATCAGCTGCAAAATAAATCTGCTGTTACAAGATTTTCAATACCCGATGTACAAATAAGATTAGGCGTAGAAATAATATAGAGCGTGGATCATGGCAGCTAGTTAGAATTATTAATAAGACAACGACATATAAAATGAGCTTCAGAGAAAAAATAATATCGACAATAACATATACAAATAATGATGACTGGTTAAAGTTAATTAAGACAATATACAAAGCAAAATTAAGTGCAAAATAGCGTCGAATATAGATTACAATGGCAAGTTCAAATTATTAATAAGACTACAATATATAAAGAAATATTCAGAGCAAAATAATATTGAGGATCAGTTAAGTCAAAATTATTAATAAGACAACAATCGCTGTTGAAATCATCTTTGAACACTCGCCGCTCCAAGAACGTATTTTCTACCTCGTAACAAGCCTCCTGAATAATACAATTGCGAATCTGAATAATAATGCGAAAAAACGAGCAATGCACATACCTGGTCAACATAACCTCTGGTCTCGTCGGCCCTTCTATAATTCAACTCGAGTCGCTCGTATCTGATCAACGCCGTCAAGGTTTTCTGGAATTTGCGAAGGCGTCCCTCCGGACCGTCGGGATTTGAGAACCTCCGACGTGGTTTGACATTGTATCTCAATTTGGACACTAGATGCTCGATGTTCGCTTGATTCATCTTCGCCAATGTTTACTCCGGACTCCGGCAGAAATTCGCTTCATAGGCCTCATGGCCGACGTTTGCGGGATCATGCGCACCTTTCATTCTTCAATCTGCATTCGCACGTGGAATTGTTACAACAATCGCAAAATATTCTTAAATAACAATAAATAATCTTGCTATTAAAAATCTTAGAAGTCATTATTTTGAGATTGCCTAATATTCATTAGATTAATTATTATTGGTACATTCTATATAACATAGCAACTTCTAATTTCATTAAAAATTATTTTTTTATATGTAAAAGACCACAATGTTGTTCGATACAATTTTTTAAGGAGCTAGATTGAATATCGTCTCAGTATTTCTATTGGAAAATCGCATTTATTTTTTCCCAAGTAACGCAAGTTATATAATCGAACTTGTGAAGAGGCCGATAATATATAAGGCTGTCGTTGTGTCTTTTATTTGTTAACTTTACAGAAATTTTACACGAAAGGTCGGGCACGACACGACGGGATTAAAGACACTACTCCACTATGTCTTTTATTTGTTCTTTCGTAATTACAATATAACAGATGAGATATATTAAAGATAATAACGCACGACGGCACGAGACAAGCACCGCGTTTTCGACAAACGAATGTCATAGTAACTAATACAAATAATTGCATGTTTAATTTTTTCTCTCAATCATTTATTCACGAAGCGAACAGAACAACGGAAGTAAGTTTTCTTTCCGTCGAACGAAGCGCTATCACACTTCTGCAACGCGTTCGCTAATAAAATGCCACGCGATACCACAGTATGTGTTGGTTTTCAGTAAAAATTACCAGAAGGAACGACGACGTGCGTGTGTGTGTGTGTGTATGTATGCGTAAGTGTAGAGGCAGAGGAGGGTGGACTAGACCGACAAATGCTGCAATTCTATATTTTTCCATTGAACAATCCAAATTTATATTTACTCCGAATTTCACATCGCGCAACTCTACGGGATGTTACTCCAATTAAACGGATAATTACATATACGCTCGATAAAAATCGTCCGTTCGCGATTTGCATGACGACTCGTGAGGTACGAAGTTACGTTGGCAAATAATTGAACGGGAAATTCGAGTGACTTTTTCTGTTTTTTTTATTTGTTTGTTAACTGGGCATTTCTGTATGTGTCCTTGTACGCGTGCACGTGTAAATTTGTAATGGCCTATCGCTGAACGGGGGGTGCCATTGGAAGACCCGAGGTGTTGACGCCGGACAGAGCTGTGTTAGGGCCTAAGAGGACTTGCTTCTGTTGAGTACGCTGCAGGTCTTCCATCTGCGCGCGCTCCATCTCAAAGATAATCGGCGCAAAGAGAATTGTGGACGAACTGAAGACCAACCATGTTGCTGAACACGAATATGCATAGAGACCTGCGAAGATATATTCATATAAATGTGTAATTTATCCTTGCGTTACAAATTACTAACTTTATTGCGTATCTTGAGACTTAAGGGAGTAACATTACCTTGGATACATGTGCATAGGCAGGTTCCAAAGTTGTATCCAAAGTTGCGTACCGGCTCAGGAAACATTTCAGTAAGCCCTAGTAACCTCTCTGTTAAGCTTTCATCCTAAGTCGAAAAGAAAATTTAAACCGATTAAATCCCGAATAGTACAACAAATACCAATTCTTCATTGTTATTAATGAAAAGCAACAAAAATGCTATACTCCTAGCCCAGTTTCACAAGTGTCGGTTAACTTTTAATCTTAGATTAACTCACTCTTCATCTCCTTCTAACGTCCCCCTTAGAAAAAGATGAAGAGTGAGTTAATCTAAGATTAAAAGTTAACCAACACTTGTGAAACTGGCCCAGTCGTTAACTTTAATCTCAGTTAAGAAAGGCAACAAAAGCATCGCGCTTACAAGGCACTATAAATATCTCGTTTACTTTAATCTTAACTGAAAAGAGCACATGGCGCATAGGTCATATATATACAATTATAAATATTAGCACCAGGTGAGGTATCAGAAAGCCGGCTTTTCTCTTATCATCAAATAACGATTCACCAGTGATCTTTTGGTACCACAAGATTCAGCAGGACCACGTAGGAATCCTGAAGATCGTCATTTACTCCTGAATCACTCCGAACATTCTGCGCACACAAGCTACGCCAGGAGCTCGAGGCCCACGACACTATCTTACTTATCACTATCATCTTTCTTCCCTCATGTATAAAGGGCGCTCTCGACCGTACCTCCTCGTCATCGTCCTCGTCGTCGGGGAGGAGCGACTTCACCTCGGGAGAGCGCGCGTCGCTGCTGCCCATGCCGCTGTCGACCTGATGATCCAGCTCCTCAACTGAAGCCATATACACGAGGGTGAGCGTGAACGCGCTCCGCTTTGCGAGTTATGTCTTAAAGAATAACGCGGCCGAGAGAGGTTCTTGGTTCTTGCTCACGTCGAGCAGCACGTTCACGGCACAGCGGTGCATTCGCACGTTCTCTCTCTCTCTCTCTCCCTCTCTTTCGGCTTACGGTGACGGAGAGAGCGAAGGAGCACCGAGCAATGAGCGAGTGAGCACGCTTCGGCCGATAACGTGCCGGTACAACGTGGCTCAAGTTTTGCATGTACGCGCGCGGCGCGAGATATGAAGCCCAATGAAGCCGAGCGGGACGAAACGAGCGAGCGGATTCCGTACCTGCGATTCGAGACGAGGTTCCCCGCACCACTGCCCACGCTGCCATTCCCACGAGGACGATCTCGACGACGCTCGATGATCGCGATCGCGCCCAATCGCGTGGGCCTCGCTCTCACGTGCGTGAACCTCGCGCATATCGAAGCTCGACCGTCGAGTTGCGTAATGCGCTCGCGACCTGCGAGGCTTCCTTTTCTATTTTTCGATCTTTTTGTTGGATAAAAAAAACGGTAATAATCGCGAGCCGATATTATCGTGGCACGGAGATTTTTATGACCTGGTCTCCTGGGACACAAAGCTAACAATAATATTCGCAACATTCCTGAAATTCTTCGAAAATTGACATTAAATGGTGATTTAGTATCAAAAGATATCACAAACAGTAATCAGCTTCTTTCTCTTCTTTAGTCAGTCGTGGAAGTTGATATATTCAATCATGAAAGAAGTAGGGAGATTTGTAGCAGGAGAAATTCTATGCGTGCGCAATTCTGTTTATTAATAGAAGTATATTAATTAAAAAAGAGCACAAGTTACATTTAATGTTACGCATACATTCCATATATTTTAACTTATATTATTATCATTCATTTTTTAATTACACATTAATTCGGGACCAGCCTCAAGCTGGTGAAGCTGGCTGTCGTGATTCGCACATGGCGGGCACGATCGCGCTCTCAGCGGAGTAAAATGGAGCAAAACGCCGTGCGCTCCGAGTCGCGAGTCCGTTAATGTCCATCCCTGGTCCGGCATATATCCGGCCGTCGTCGCCCGTCGCCGTCCTCATCGTCCCAGTCGTGATGCTCGTCGAGCCGGCTCCCGGCCACGCACGAGCGAGGCGCTGCGACAGTTGAGGCCCACCAAATCTCACTGAAACCGAACCCACTGCCGACGGCCGAAATTCGAGTCGACCGAGTCCCGGTCGAGCGCGCTATCGGGGAACGGGCGTCGCATGACGCGATAAGGATCGCGCGGCGAAGACGCGTTGTCCTTGCACCGCTCGACGATCGGCGACGAATGGACGCGGCGCGCCGCGTCCGCTGCAACACCGACACTTAGCGGTATACCCGCACCTTCGGACGTGTTGTTTCTCGTATTTCGGACGACGCGCGTCCTAGTCGTGTATCAATCGCCCGGTGGGCAGGATGGCGAACACCGGGGTGCTGCCGTTCGTGCGAGGCGTCGACTTCAGCAGCAACGACTTCGGCGTAAGTATCGCTGGGGATTTCCACGGAGAGGTTAACCTAACCTCGCGAGAGAACTCCCAAATGCAGCTTGGTTCCTGACTCTCGTTTACGATCTTTCGCACATTTATTTTGTAACTTTGTTAACATTCGATAGCTCTATTAAGCTTAACGCACCTTTACTCCAATATAAAAGAAGATTAGCTGAATGACATGCCACTTTTGATTCGTCAACTCTTGTGACAAGGTTTAGGATTGATCGTGTGAGCGGCTAGGTAGCTATAGTAAAGACTGCCTCTCGTTGTTTCTAGGATGGCAAATTTCCTGAATCCGTGCGTCTCATGACTGGAATACAATGGCTGAAATTAGACAAAACAAATTTGACGGAGATCCCCGAGGAGATGGGCAAATTGTTGAAATTGGTAAAGTAATACTTGAAAAAATTGTGTGATGACATTTATCTACATATAAGAAATATTTTGTGTAATATTGTTTTTGCACGAACTTTTATGGAAAAAGATTTTTGTCGTGTTAGTTAAATGGCCAGAATCACATTATTAATGCATTTAATTATCCATCAGGAACATCTGTCACTTGTCAAAAACAGGCTGGAACGTTTGTACGGAGAATTGACAGAATTGAACTGTCTCAGGACACTGAACATAAGGCATAATAATATCAAATCCAGTGGTATCCCAGCAGAGCTGTTTCATTTAGAGGAACTGACAACCTTAGATTTAAGTCACAACAATTTAAAGGAGGTACCTGAAGGCCTAGAAAGAGCACGTTCCTTGCTCAATCTTAATTTAAGCCATAATCAGTACGTATCGGCAACCAAATGTACGTTATGACCGTGGAAAGATCATGGACAGAGCTGTAACTTTTATTTTTATTCTTTCAGTATCGAAACCATACCAAATACGTTGTTCATCCACTTGACTGACTTATTGTTCTTGGATCTTAGTCATAACAAGCTAGAAACAGTGCCACCGCAGACTCGACGTTTGGCTAATCTACAGACTTTAAATCTGAATCATAATCCTTTAGGTCATTTCCAATTAAGGTAGGAAACATTTTCATGTCGATCTTTAGAATATTTTTTTTTCATCCAAGAAAAGTTTTCTTCATTTCTCCCAAATTGTTTCAGACAATTGCCATCCTTAATGAATTTAACGACGTTACAAATGCGGGACACACAACGAACATTGAATAATATACCTTCTAGTCTAGAAACGCTAACTAATTTGCAAGAACTCGATTTGTCGCAGAATAATTTACCCCGAGTGCCTGACGCGCTTTATTCCTTGGCGAATTTGCGCCGTTTAAATCTGAGCGACAATCAAATAATGGAATTATCAACAGCGATCGGTGAATACACCTTTACAATTATCTTACTCACATAGTCTTATGCTGACTAACAGTAAAACATGTTTTCCAGAATTGTGGACGAGGTTGGAGACTCTGAACGTGTCGCGAAACAAATTAAGTGCAATACCAGCCGCTGTGTGCAAGATTTCCACATTAAGAAGATTGTATTTGAACGATAACGAATTAGATTTTGAGGGCATACCTTCTGGAATAGGAAAATTATCGTCTTTGCAGGTTTTCTCTGCTGCTAATAATCATTTAGAAATGATACCAGAAGGATTATGCAGGTGAGGAGCTGTTATTTTTTTCAATTATCTTATTTTAAGGAGAATAATTTTTTTTTTCAAGATAATATTACAAAAAGAAATATGTTTTTTTTAGATGTGGCGCATTGAAGCAATTAATATTAACGTCAAATCGATTAATTACCGTGCCGGACGCTATCCATCTTCTCACCGATTTAGAACAGCTGGATTTGCGGGACAATCCAAATTTAGTGATGCCACCAAAACCAACAGAAGTACAAAGGGGATCGGGCATCGAATTTTACAATATCGACTTCTCGTTGCAACATCAGTTGCGTCTTGCCGGTGCTAATGTACCAGCTCCAGTTCAAGCTGCTAGTACGTATTATGACCATCAGATGCAATAAAATAAAATGTAAAGATCTGATACTTTGTATAAAAGCATATTTTTGATTGATGTAGACAGTAAAGATCCAATCGCGCGTAAAATGAGGTTGAGAAGAAGGAGGGATCAAGAGGAGGCTGATCAAGATCAGGCCAAAATTCTCAAGGTTCGTCATTATTTCACTAGTCACATTACGGTGTTTGTACGCAGAGAAACTTATAATTATGATTGCTTTCAGGGCATGAAGGACATAGCGAAGGAGAAGAACAAGGATAAGGAATGCGAGGAATCGAAAGCAGAATCCTTGAAGTGAGTAGGATCTTACGAGGTTTCTAATTATATCACATTTGTTTTCCAGCATGGATTTTTCTCATATAATTAATTAACAATTAATTTTGTAGACCTAAGCGATGGGATGAAGCTTTAGAGAAGCCGCCGCTGGATTATTCCGAGTTCTTTGACGAAGACGCTGGTCAAATACCGGGTTTGTCGGTCTGGGAGATAGAGAACTTTCTGCCGAACGAGATCGAGGAGGTGGCGCACGGCAAATTTTACGAGGGCGATTGTTACATTATCCTGAAAACCGGGATAGATGAAGGTGGATCATTGTCGTGGGCGATCTATTTCTGGATCGGAGAAAAAGCGACAGTACGTATACTTTTGTGAACTGAGACAGTATGAACGCTGTATGATTATTTCACAGATTATCGCACATGTGAACCGCGTACTACTAATTTAATCACAATTTGTTCTCGCAGTTAGATAAAAGAGCGTGTGCGGCGATTCACGCCGTAAATCTGAGGAATTATTTAGGCGCACAATGTCGGACAATCAGGGAGGAGCAGGGGGACGAATCGGATGAATTTCTGATGCTGTTCGATTCGGGTATCACCTACATCGAGGGCGGTCGCACATCGTCCGGTTTTTACACAGTGGAAGATACAGTGAGTGCTTAATTCTTTTTTATTATTGTAATTAAATTTTCGAAGGGGAAAATTTTTAAGCCACACTGAGATCACGATTTTTCCTTTTTTCAGCCAGCGATTACTCGTCTGTATAGAGTGCACGCGGCGGGAGCTTCTATACATTTGGAACCAGTTCCAGTCTGTGTCGAGTCTCTGGATCTCGGTTACGTATTTGTTCTCGACACGGGGAATAAGATATTCATGTGGTATGGAAAGAAAGCGAAGAGTACGTTGAAGTCAAAAGCGCGGCTGATGGCGGAAAAAATTAATAAGAACGAACGGAAAAATAAAGCTGAGATTCTAACGGAAGTCATGGGTGCCGAGTCCGAAGATTTCCTGTTACACTTAGGGGTGGAGGAACACGAACAGAAAAATCTGCAAATCATTGTAAGCTTTTTTTTATTTTATTTCATTCATTTTACTTTCAATGTAAATGTAATAGTTATTTCTTTAATTAATAATTTCTTTAATAATCTTATGTTATTGTAATCATCTCGCTTGTTTTTACGATAGGAGCACGTGGATCCAAATTTTGTACCTCTCGTACCCAGATTGTATCAAGTTCAACTCGGAATGGGCTACCTGGAATTACCGCAGATCGAGGTTCCTCATGGAAAATTAACGAATACCTTGCTAAACAATCGCAATGTGTATATATTAGACTGCTATTTAGATCTATACGTTTGGTGAGTGTAAAGAGTGTGCTTAAGTCACTTTTAAATCTATACATTGACTAAGTTAATTATGCATACGATTATAGGTTTGGTAAAAAATCAACGAGATTAGTACGCGCCGCTGCTGTAAAGCTATCTCAAGAATTATTCAACATGATAGAGAGGCCAGAATATGCGATGGTAACGAGATTGCAAGAGGGTACTGAATCACAGGTATAAATAACTTTAACTCAATTTATAAAATCCTTTCAGTCAGTTTTTACAAGTCCTTCCCATTAAAAAATATTTGCTTCATGTATTGTATAGATCTTCAAATCTAAATTTGCTTCATGTATTGTATAGATCTTCAAATCTAAATTTACCGGATGGGACGAAGTAATTGCCGTGGACTTCACTAGGACAGCTGAATCAGTCGCTAAAACTGGGGCGGATCTCACTAAATGGGCTAAGCAACAAGAAACAAAAGTACGTTTAAATACATTTTATAATAACTGCATTTTTGCTCTATTATTATTTCCATTTAAAATAAATTTTTATTCATTTTCTGTTACTTTTAGGCGGATTTGGCTGCTTTATTCATGCCGCGACAACCATTGATGTCGGCTGCGGAAGCGCATCAACTCATGACAGAGTGGAACGACGATTTGGAGGGAATGGAAGCGTTGGTGTTGGAGGGAAAGAAATTTGTACGCCTGCCGGAGGAGGAGTTAGGGCATTTTTACAGTGCGGATTGTTACGTTTTCTTATGCCGGTATTGGATGGTATGTAAAACATGTTCTATCAAAACGCAAAGCTATTAAACTTACAGTAAATTGCTATTTTGATTTTGGTTAAACCAGCCATTGGACATAACGGAGAACGAAGACGGCGAGGAGCAGTACGAAGACGATTATCAGTGTACAGTGTACTTCTGGCAAGGCAGAGACGCGGGAAACATGGGATGGCTGACGTTTACGTTTAGGTAGAGATCATAGATATATTTATCTGCGACGATCAATATCAGGTGAATCATATCTTTTCTGTTTCAGTCTACAAAAGAAATTTAAATCATTATTCGGCGAAAACCTGGAGGTTGTGAGGACGCATCAACAACAAGAAAATTTAAAGTTTATGAGTTACTTCAAACGAAAATTCATCATTCACCAAGGCAAACGTAAGCAGCCGAAGGCTCCAGGTAGTAACAAAGTGGAGTTTTATCACCTGCGAAGTAATGGCAGTGCTTTATGTACTCGACTCATTCAAATACCGGCGGATTCGACGTTATTGAATTCTGCTTTCTGGTGAGACACATTACGTTAAATACGTACGGATTATATATCGTCTATAATACACATCTCTTTTCATTTATAGTTACCTTTTAAATGTGCCATTCAACAATTCCGATGAAGGAACCGGTATCGTGTACGCGTGGATTGGATCGAAGGCTGATCCCGAAGACGCTCGTCTAATCGCAGAAGTAGCAGAGGAAATGTTCAACAACGTGAGTTAGAAATCTTTCGTGCTCAAATCTCAGAGTTTAAGTTCGATTTTGTTCAATTTGATATAAATCACAAATATAAACGTCTGTTGAATATTGAAATGTTTTCTTTTTTTTATTTCCAAGAAGTAGAATATCTTGTAGATGAAAAAAAAGTTTTGTCTTTCATTGTTGGTAATAAATATAAATAATTGAATACAGCCATGGATAAGTCTGCAAGTATTGAACGAAGGCGAAGAACCAGACAACTTCTTCTGGGTGGCACTTGGAGGGAAGAAACCGTACGACACTGATGCGGAGTATATGAATTACACAAGACTATTTAGATGTTCCAATGAGAAAGGGTACTTTACAATCAGCGAGAAATGCACCGATTTTTGCCAAGTAAATTTTTAATATTCCGACATTAATAACAGGCTTCTGGTATGTGACCGGAATATCTTCAGGTTTTTTTTTACAATAAATGAATAATATGCTATTTTTTGCAGGATGACTTGGCAGACGATGATATAATGATCCTCGATAACGGAGAACAAGTATTTCTCTGGCTGGGTACTCGCTGTTCAGAAGTTGAAATCAAACTGGCCTACAAGTCGGCTCAGGTCAGTTATATGAGATCGTTAATTTTTGTGAAAATATTGCAAATATATTCACGACAAAGTAAAATTGATTTCGAGTGATTGGAACAATGCAGAGCGTTAGCAAATAAACATTTACTTCTTCTTTCAGGTATACATTCAACACTTGCGCGTGAAGCAACCCGAGAAACCTCGAAAGTTATTTTTAACTGCCAAAGGTAAGGAATCCAGAAGATTCATGAAATGCTTTCACGGCTGGGGTTTACACAAGAGGCCGCCGCAGTAAAATCGAGTCAGTGCTCACTACGCTTAACGTGTTCGGAGTTAGTTTTATACGCAGGCAGGGTATGACACAAGCGCAACATTTTATGTAGAACTATAATGCGTCGCGATCTTCGCGCTTTTTTACTCGCGTTTCGTATGCCGATCAAACGGAAGTCAATCCATCACAATAATCCGTATATTCTCGATGCGAACGATCGATTTAGATCAAGAAACGCAATAATTTTTCACTAAACAACGAATCTAACTAATAAAGTTTACATTTTCGCGTTTGCTTCTTTGCTTTCAACTTATTGGATAAATAATTTTTCACCGACCGCTTACTACGCGTCAGTCCGTTTGGTATACGTAATATAATTCAGATTTCTATTTATTAGCACGGGCACTCTTTCGACTCAGTCTCATTTTTCAACTCAAACAGATGCAAGTACAAAGAGTTTTTTTTCTCTCGTATTTTCATCTTCAGGTCCAACAAGATTTTCTCTCTGTGATGCGATTCTCTGCTGTTTTACACTATGAAAGAGATTCGTCTACCTTAATCGTTATAATCCATACTGTCCGTGAGACTTATTTATTTATTTATTCACATATATTTCCGTATTTATGAACTTTCGTACAGACTAGACTATGTATCCGTTTTTTATTTCACCCAAGTTCACGTTTCAGACAATGTGATAGACATTTTTTAAAAATCGTTCGATGAATTGTGATACAAATATTTATCGTCGAATTATAACGTCGAAAAAAAGGCTTTTTTTTTCTTTTTATAGAGAAATATCGATTCTTCTTTTAAGAAGATCAGCTGTTTATATAGTTTTAAAAAGGTTAAAATAGGATCTTTCTACAAGTTTTCTATATTTGCTGTGTGTTTCCAGCAAATGTTATCGAAACTGTAAATTTTGAGCAGATTACCGGAAATCGCATTTGGAAATTTGTGAATATTAATCGAAGACTGAAAAGAGATACGTGTAATTATAATCACATGTACACGTTTTTGATTAACATCGCCCGATTGTACAGATGCCATAACGAGCATTTTCGTATTACTCTTACACTGTATTTAACGCAATTTATTTATAGATATAATATATACATAGATTTATAAATACATAGATTTTGTAAAAGTTCTATTTAACTTTCAACAATTGTATAAATAAATATTTCTATTGATAATTTATAAGGACCTAAGATTTATGCATTTAAAAATGCCTGATTATGCGTGAAATTTTATTGAAATTATGCAAAATTATGCGGTCTAAAATAAGCTGAATTTTAGTGTGTATGATCTTGTTTCTTAGTATGTACTTTAAATACCATTATTGCTTTGGGACAAACTACTGTCTAGCAGTAGAGATGGAGTTTAATGAGTACACTGAGGGTCGATGGAAATAAGAAATCAAAATACAGATACAATAATCTATCTATAGAGGCAGTTTATTAAATAAAAAAAATTTAATTTAAGTATGAAATATGCATGGAACAGTTTTCTAACTTAAGTTATAATTGTTATAAAATTTAATTAATGAAATAAAGAACATAAAATTAACTAAAAGTATCTTTTGAGATACAACACAAGCAATACCTAGTAACTTAACTAGAAAAATAAAGGTACAGAAATGTTGACCAGAATTCACTAGATTCGAATTTGAATGTATATCAATTAACTGTGATTAAACTACCTCTATCAAGTTAGCCCCCCCCACCATCGCAAAAAAATCCACACTTATTAAAAAATTTAGTGCTATTTATGTGCTAATTTGTTGCTCTAGTTCGGATTTATTTGCTTTAATCCGGGTCTTTTTGTTATTTAAATATTCTATAGACCGTGTCCTACCAGAATATGCAATGTATGATTTTGTTGCTCGTCCCTAACTGCAAATAAACAAATTATTTATCTCCGCGTCGACCGTTATCTACGACTTCAATGACTAAATAGTTTTTAGCCATCGAAGTCGTAGATAACGATCGACGAGGAGAACTAATTTGTTTATTTGCAGTTAGGAGCGAGCAACAAAATCATACGTTGCATATTCTGGTAGGGCACGGTTCATATAATATTTTAAGACCAAAGAGAGCCGAGTAACAAATTCTTTTACTTAGTTTTTAACCATCGAAGTCGTAGATAACAGTCGAAGATGCAGTATTTATTAGTGGCATTGTTTACAGAATTTCATTGTTTAAGATATAGTCAATATAGTGCTGTCTGTTAAGTATTCGGATATACGTATTTTCTAAAAAACATTATATTTCAAAAATGTTTTCACGCTATCTTGGAGCAACAAAAAAGCAACAAATTCTGGTGTATTTGTTTTTTTGGATTTGAGCACTATATGTGTTTTTAGTATGGAGGGGAAGGCTAGCTTGACGACAAGCTGCCCTCCCCCCATTTCGATCGCCATTTCCTGCTAAACGGCTTGAGCAACAAAATCCGGACTAGAGCAACAAATTAGCACATAAATAGCACTACATTTTTTAATAGGCGCGGATTATTTTTGCGATAGAGGAGGGGCTAACTTGATAGAGGTGATTAAACTCGTGAAATTATGATATGTTATGATGAAAATACGGTGTTTTGGCAACATTATGCGAAATTATGCGGAAAAATGACATTATGCTGCAAAAGGTCTCAATTATGCGTTATTGTGCGCATAAATAATCGGGTTCTATTGGTGTCCCAACACTTAGAATAGTGAAAAGAGTTTGTTTCAATAGGTTTTTACAAATTATGCGATTATGCGCGATGCATAAATCTTAGGTCCTTAATAATTTACATAATCTCAGGTATTAAAGCGTAAGTAAGGTACCTAAGTTGTGTAAGCGAAGAGACTCCTCTTCCTCTTACGTGAATTCATGCAATTACTGGTCGTGCGTCACAGCGACGTCAAACTTGAATCTGAAAAGCAATTCAGACGATATTCTAAATTAGGTAAAAAAAAAATTAGTCAATCAAAATTCGAAATTACAAGCGCGTCAGCGTCAACTAATCGAACGTAAGATATAAGTATAATTAATGTAATTAACAGACTGTTCCAAATCCATCGTTTGTCTCTTATTTTTTCAACACACAAATATATATTTTTATTACATATGAATATATATTTTGTAATATATATATTTTTATATATGTATATATTTAAAAATCGGAGTAGCTGAATAATAACGTCCGTCTTTGCACAGTAAACTGACAACGATCTCGCCTATTACGATTGCCACAAGTTATTCCAGGAATATATGAAAAATTACCTTCAATTAGCATTAAGAGCAACGTCTAACCGGCAGAGTATTCTCAAGAAACGCAACGAGACGAAAGCAGCTGATCGCTAGTCGTCGTCGTCGTCGTCGTCGTCAGAGGGGACGAAGAGCTCGTTTTCCTCCAGGAAGTTGGCCACGTTCTTGCTGATCGTGGCGCCGACCAGCAGGCCGAATATCACGCTGCTGACGACGCCCAGGAAGCTGAACGGGGTCCTCTTCGGCTCGGGCAGGATCGCCCCGGACGGCGTGGTGATCGTCGACCGAAGAAATGGCTTGGATATCGCGCTCGTCTCCTTGAGAATAGTCCCCCCGCGAAACAACGGCGTCACTCTGTGCAACAGCATCCTCCTTCCGCGAGGTTTATTCCTGGTGACGGTCAATCGCACGCTCCTTCCCCGGAAATCCCGAAATTCGCGAGTCGGTAATATCAGAATCAGAGGTAGAATTTAGCACATCCCTGACTGACGGAGAGCCGGGAGAGCTATAGTAAAATAGTAAAGCCCCTTGCACAATAGGCGATAGCGATAGCGACAGCGACAAGGTTGCCGACAAAGCTATACCTTTGTCGGCAACGCTGTCGCTATCGCTATCGCTATCGCCTATTGTGCAAGGGGTTTTAAATTCAGCTATATTCAGCGCCGAGACTCAGTGTTGCCCCGGAAAGAATTTAAAAGTCCCTTGATGATTTTCGCGACAATTCACTTTTATCAAATAATACTTATGTTTTATTTTGTTAACATAAGATAGAATTATTATTATAATATTTATAATAATTTCTGGAAAGAAGAACAGATAAAATTAATGACGAATTGTATATAGAGCTAACCATTGATTTTGACTTAAGCAATTTTGCCGGTTGAATTTTTTAATCGCTAATTAAATTAATGGGAGTTTAAACGAGATTATGTATCCATCTGTAAAATTATGCATCAGCCCGTCACGTTCGATTGCTACTGAGTTTGTTCTGCTGAATGCGCTCAAAATATTCAAATAGAAGATACATCGAATTCTGCTTAAAATCGAATAAAGATATATTTAGCGCAAATTCTTACATGAGGATAAAACTCCCCCCAAAAAATGCAAGAATGATAACAATAGAGATTTTGTAGCCAATCGCTATTCTCATTGGCGACACTGCGCGCGCGTTTTGGAACACATTGGAACACATGTTGAAGAGACGAATCCTCGACAACGTGGTTCAGAACCTGAAATGAAAGATGTATGTTTTGCGGAACAGCAGATGACAAGGATAAACAAGTGGGAATCATGTTTTACTTGATAGGATTAGGTCTAGGCGACGCGAAGGACGTCACCGTGAAAGGGCTCGAGATTATTAGGAAATGTGACCGCGTGTACCTGGAATCTTATACCTCTGTCTTGACAGTGCAGCAAGAAGCCTTGGTTCGTATCACCTAAACGTCGAGGATAACGCACAATTTCGCGTAGCATTCAAGTTTCAGTTTAGAAATATATCAGATGTAATTTGCACATATGTATCTTACATTAGGAACAGTTCTACGGACGTTCCTTGATCGTTGCCGACCGCGAGCTGGTGGAGAGTAACGCAGATGAGATACTACCGAAGAGAGAGGACGAAGAAGTGGCTTTTCTGGTTGTAGGAGACCCTCTCGGGGCTACCACGCACACGGATCTGGTACTGCGTGCGAAGGAGAAAGACATACAGGTGGGTGGGACAGCGAGATTTATTAGAATCATTATTTCTGAGAAACATCAGAATTGTTTTACGTTTTCACACGTATCTGACAAACATTATTTAAGAATATTATGCTTCTCATCAGGTGAAAGTTATACACAATTCGTCGATACTGACTGCGGTTGGTTGCTGTGGCTTGCAACTGTATTCATATGGGGAAATCGTTTCGATTCCATACTGGACCGACACTTGGCAGCCGGATAGCTTTTATGAGAAGATAGCTTCTAACAGACAAAGAGGGCTGCACACACTCTGTCTCTTGGACATCAAAGTTAAGGAGCCTACCTCGGAAAGTATCACGAAGAGAAAAAAGGAGTACATGCCTCCGAGATTCATGAGCGTCAATGAGGCTGCTGGTCAACTGATAGCTATACTTGACAATAAGATTCAGGATGGACATAAAGATTTAGGTCGGTGACAAGTACATCTATTCAAATGATATAATAATCGTGTAATAATCATAAATTAGATAAATATAACGATCACAAATTATATAATAATCATATAAATAATAATTGTTATAATTAATAATATACCTATATATTATTTCTGGACTTTTTTTGCATTTAATAGCGTTTACGCACCAGAGCTTGGCGGTGGGCTTGGCGCGAGTGGGCTGTGAGAACCAGCACATTGTCGCTTGTTCCCTGGAGGATATGACGCGGGTAGATTTGGGATTGCCGCTACACTGCCTCGTCATCCCGGCGGAAAAGCTTCATCCCCTCGAACTGGAATTTCTCGCGCAGTATGCTCTGAACAAGACTCAGTTCAAAGAAATGACGCAATCAGCATGACCTTTTTTATTCAAACGAAGAATGGAGTGAGCTCTATTCTTTTTGTACACTTAGGCAAAATAAATTGATTGTATCAAACTGTTAAATATTGTATCAAATTGTATAAATATAATGCGAAATATTTATCGTAAAATAAGCCAAGTGTATCTATATAATTTGGTACGAATAGAAACTTATATTTTTTTATATTATTGATTTTTAATGGTAACACGCTGACTCTTCTACTTCGTTTTCCCAAAGAAATTTATTAAATCTGTTATTTAGAATTTAGGTATGTCTTTCTTAGATGCAATCATCGATTATAGATTTGTAGCTGTTTTTAATACAGTTTTCGGGTACGTTTGATATTTTTGCAGGTTTTCACAATCCTGATATCCACGATAGTTTCCGTCCCCGGGCTGCATAAAACTTACATGAGTATACTGTCGCGGTTGCATTATTAAATGGCCAATATTTCCAGCCGCGTAACGGGTGACCGATCGCAATCGAACCGTGTCGTATTGTAGGATCGTCACGGAAAGGCGGAGAGAGATTTGGCGACCGCGAGCACCCTGTTTACGTGGGCCGCATTATTATTCCATTCGCTTTTGGCCCGGTTCCATGGTTTAAGCCGCGTATAATTCTGCGGCGGAGTCACGTGGCCGTGCGTCAGGGCAAACTAATCAATGGACAAGCATCGACCAACCGCGCCGACGAGGCTGGTGTCGGTGATTCAGTTGTGCCACGGAGATGCACTCGCTCGGTGGTGGCCAACCCTCCCGTTTCGTTCCCTCCTGCAGCAGGTACATTCGGTTACGGAAACGTGCGAAAGACCAGCGGTATATCCGCGATTTACGATATCGCTCCAATTTATGTTTCTCGCACTTTGACAGGTAGACGGAATTAATTACGAGCACCCGTTGACTCGCGCGATGAACGTTGCACCTCGATACGCACATATACACGCATATTGTAACTCACTGTAATCATCGTTTCTGCAAAAAGAAATATATACGTTACAAATTGATTGTAATATTTTTCTCTCGCAATTATTGTATCCCCGCACCCAGCTAGCTTGAATATATGAAATACATCTTTAGCGCGAAAGCAAATAAATACGTTTTGCTATACAGAACGTAGCTAGATCGTAGAGCTCCGGATTTGGATCAAGTAAGAAAATCAATTCCGAATAAAGAAAAAAGAGAAAAGTATATATTCGGAAAAATTCTGTTAATAAACTGTCGAAGTTAATCGTCTGTCGTAGAGGAAGTATGGCTTGAAACTTAAGGGATATAGCAAAAATGCACTAGAAAGTTATTTTTTTACACATAGAAAATTGCAACTAGAAAATTGAAATTAATTCTTAAATCTTTCTGCATAGTGTCCTAGAAAATTAAGATTTTAGAAAAGGAGAAACAAGATTTTCCGTCTTGACGAATACTTTTTAACAACTGTTATAGAAGATTATAAGACCTGTCGCATTTCCTTAAAATTCACGCAGGCAAATCCTAATTTTTAATCCTATAATTTTTCGATTTTTAATATCTAGAACGCGACGAATTATTCTGGAAGAGTTCTTTAAGAAAGAAGAGGCTGATATTCCGCGATGCGTCGATGCGATACGTCGCGGTGAAAGGAATGCCGATGACGAAACTCCACGTATAGATGAAGAATAATCGAAAACATTATGAGATATAGTAAAGTGGCACGATGCTAAGCCCGACCCCGCCGATCGATCGTCCCAGCCTGCGTCCTGGCACAGGATACCTCATCGCGCCGCGGGTGCCCCACGGTCTTGCGACCGTGGTCGAAAGTCTCACGAGGGAGGTCCTGCGTCATCGTCCCGAGGACATATACGTCTTTGCGGCCCGCCACTTCGAGAAGCTGCTGAAGCTGCGGGAGGAGTACCACGCCGAGGAGTACAGCGATCGCGAATTCAACCATGAATTCAGTCGCGATTTTAATCTGTGGCCCAGGAAGGAGACCCAGCGAAGACCTTCCAACGGCGGTTGGTCCTTGGAGAAGGAGATCGAGATCTTCGAGAGGCGTGAACCGGTGCTCGTCGACGTGGAGGAGAGTCAGGAGGACGTCTGCTCCACCGGCAGAGAAAATCGAAAAGCGTCGAAGCAGACGTGCTCGCGAGATCCTGCGACTGCGAAGAAAACCTCGAAGAAATCAAAGGACAACGGGACAACGTCGGACGTTCGCACGACGAGGATCATCTCGCAGATGACCGCTCTTCACGGTCCCGGCAAAAATATTCAGACCAAAGATATTAAGCAGGAACTCAGAAAGAACAAGCTGAGCGGGGAGAAGTCGAAGGCGGCCGATAGTGTGGAGAAAGGGATTCGAGGAGATAGGCGATCTAAAACGAGGGTTTCCAAGAAGGACAAAAATCCTGAAGAGGAGGTCGAACGTGCTACAACGACGAGCTCGAGTAGAACGTCCGCAAGGAGACCACTGAAGAAGGTGCGCCGAATCGAGACCGAGTCCGAGACCGAAACGGAACAAGAAGTCGCGGCCAAGACCGGACTTGAAGATGGGTATAATAATTTATTTCACTGTAATACCTCTTTTCTAATTATTTAATATGATAATTATATTAATGTAATTATAATTATAATATTAAATAATTATTATATGTACATATAATCTAATTATTTAATATTATAATAATAATTTTGATAAATATTTTAGCAAATTTAATATACGCAAAAGAATCTGTCTGAATTTTCTTCTTTTAATTATCAGACATGCGAGATCGACCGTTAAAAATGACGGTGCAAGCCGTGAAACGATTGCTCGAACCGGAAGCAAGGAGAGAAGACCGGACGCGCGACTCTCCGAACATTCCTCCGAGAGGAAAGTATCGTCGAGAGCACTTAGCATGGATCGAATCAGGGCGTATGTGTTGCGCAAATTCGCGAGCACCGCGAGTCTGGAGGTCCTACGATCGCCTACGTACGTGGAACAGGTGCAGGAGGTGATCGATCGCGCGGCGCCGATCATCAAAGAGAAGTTAGAGGAGATCGGACAACCGCGGGGAAAGCGTTCGAGATCGGTCGACCTCGCCTGGAACGGGGAATCGTTTCATCGGCACGTTCGAGAAGAGAGGAGACATGGCGCTGAAGAAGAAAGCAGAAGAGGAAAGAGTGGTAACGGGCTGGAACGGAGAGCCAATATCGTGAGGAAAGAGGAGGTGGAAGATTCTTTCGGAAGGGACGAGACGATTTTGAACGCGGAGAGAGAGGAGAAGAAACTGAGGAGGCGCAGCGCGGGATCGGGCAAAAGATCGAGAAGACGCGAGAGCACGGGCGACTTCGGCGTCGTCGATCAGGTCGACGACAACTCGAAGCATGGTAATAAATTGGAGCACGAGTCTGGCGCGACGCGCGACACCTTGGAAGCGAGACTGACCGCCACGCAGAGCATCCTGGAAGATATCTCGAAGTCGACATCCGAGTTGGGCGGTGCTCGCAGGAGCGATCCTGCCGGGAGCGATCCGTCGGAATCGGAGATCTTCGGAGATCACGCGAACGGCGTTTCCCTGCCGGTCGTGAGGCCGCGGTCATCCAGGAATTCCAGAAGCGCCAGCAAGAACGGTTCGGTCGACAATCTGACGCTGCCGCCCATCTCACCGGAAGCTCCCAAATCGACGAAGAAGAGGAACGAGCTGTCCTTGCCGGTCTTGCCGACGGCGTCCAACAACGGCAATCATTCTGCCAGGAAACCGCAGGAACAGGATATCTCGAAGGACGCGGAGGAGGCCTCGACGATGCACGACATTACGAGTGATATGGAAGACATAGCGGTCCTTCCTGTAAACGAAGATGCGATCGTAGATGCGAAGCAGGATTCTGGCAATGTTCGCCAGGACTTAACGTCGGACGTAAGGTTTATCAATGGCGAAGAACGTATGAGAGATGAAAACGCTTTGGTGAAACTCGACGAGAAACGCGGAAGTCTTGAGGAGTTTGAGGAATTGGAGGAACTGGAAGAAGGGAGAAGATCGGAGGAAGTCTTCAGGGATAGTTTAAACGTTACACCGGAAGTGGCAAACGTGGTGCCGCTAAGGCCAGATTCGTTGGAACCTGATGAAGACGAAGTCAAACTTCAAGATGATAATGCGGATCCCGCACGAGAGAACGCGTTCGATAGGCTGAAGGATAAATTGATCGAAATCGAGATGGCGGAACGGAGTATTGAGAAAGCGTTGGCTTGCCAACAGGTCGTGACGTGTGACATCGGCGAAATGACGAGCCAAGTGGAAAAGTCGGTGACTGACGGGAAGATAAATGAAGCGAGAGAGCCGACTAATGAGGCGGAAGAGGCCGTGAGTGAGATACGAAAGTCGACGGACGCGGAAAAAATACCGATAAATAAAGACGATGAGGAAAGGAAAAAGAACAACGACGATGAAAAAAGAACGGATGATATAGAAAAGATAAAAGATGTAACAGAAACATCAAATAAAACGGAAGATTTAAATATAGAAGAAAGATTAACAAATAAAAAAGAAAAAATGAAGAGTGAAATAAAAGAGTCGACTAATAAAACGGAAAATTCAAGAAATAAAGTAGAAACATTAGCGAATGGAATTAAAAAATCGGCGACCGGAAATGAAGAAGAGAACTTAAAGAATAAAGCAAAAGTGTTAAAGAACGGAGTAGAAAAGACGACTGACCAAACGGAAATAACGACAAAAGCAACAGAAAATGAGATAAAAGCGCAAGATAGGAGATCAATGGATAAAACTGAAAAATCGATGAACGAAAAATTGTCAAATGGCAATCAAATAGTAGAAGAATTAGCGGTTAAAGTTCATGTAAAAAATGTGCAATCTATAAATCCAAGATCGCACAGCAAAGATTCTCAGATTACTGAAGTAGTTGAAACAGACGGTGATAATACAACGACGTCAAAAAAAGAAGCTGAAAATGCAGATGCGAATGGATTTTCTAAGGGTACAACTTCCGGAAATACTACGGTCAAAAGCAAATGTCCCACAACGAATCTTCCGAGCGAGAACGGTAGAACGAAAGCGCGGAAGAAACGCGAGAGTGACAAGTTACCAGTGACGATGCCGCTCTCTTTAGAGGTTCCGTATTCTTATGTTCTCAGCGAAGGTTCTCCCTGCGAGATCCCCGATTCCGTGACGACTGTGATCATCCCGGACAGACCGTGCCCTTCTCCCGTTACTCTGGAGGACGAGGATTATCAGTTGGAACCAACGAATCGAAAAGAGGAGTCAATTGCACGCTTCGATATGGCTAAAGAGATTTCCAAGGACGAAAAACGGGAAGAGGATCAGCATGGATCCGTCATGGAGGTTTTCGGAGAATATATCCGACCGGAACCCGCCGTTCTACCTGTCGATACCGATTTTATGCGTGGCGTGAAAAAACCAAGCCAGGACATAATGATTGCTCATCAGGACTTGGACAAGATTAGAGAAGAGGCTGAAGAAGAGGAAGAGAAAAAAGATGGCGAACGAAAACAGATAGAGAGCCATCAAGAAAGGAAGAATGATAAAGAGACGGTAAAAGAGGAAGAAATAAAGAAGGTTGCGATGCTGGAAGACATCGTGGAGCACGAGGAAACTGAAGAAACTGATGCAAGGACAATTGGATCCAAGGATGCTGAGGAGATTTCTTCTCCTGGCGTTCTCGAGTATGAGTCTTTGTCTGACACTAAAGATTTAACGGTTGATACTGGTGTGACAAACGAAGGAAGAGCAGAAGTCACGGTAGAATTAAGCGTGCCGGAGAATTCGTCGGAAGAGAGCGGAAGTACGCAGGGCACCCATACGACCACGTCGAGCGACGTGAAGGAGAGTACTGCGGAGAGCAATCGATCGATCGAGAGCCCGAGTCCAGGCAGACCGGTAGTGCCGGAACTAAACCTAGATTCGCTCCAGGATAATACGGTGTCGTCTTTTAAGATCACGGAAAACGGAACGCAGAAGGAAGACAACGGCAGTCCTAGGGAGAGCGACGCCACGACGTCTTTGATCGAGCCGTTGACTTCGGACGAGAGGTTGGTGAATCGGCTGGCCTCGGCCGATCACGAAGAAGAAATTGTCGCTGAAGAGTTGACAGAGAGTGGTTTGCAATCAGAGATTCCGGAGGCTGATCAATTGTATCGCGCGGAACACGCGGAGTATGAGTGGCTGGGGAAAGATCCGTTGTCTACGGAAATCAACTTGGAGGATGAAGCGCGATCTCAGAAGGACAGTATTGGTTTGAGAGCTTCATCGGAAGACGATGCACAAATCGGCTCGCTTTTGCGGGAGAAAGAAGAGGCAGAAGAATTAGGAAGTGAGGAAGAAATCGCGAGAGAATTGATAGATTTGTTGGACAAAGATGTGCAATTTCGCACTGAAAAATTAGATTTGAAAAAAGGTAGCGGAAAATCTGAAAAGAGTAATTTAGATGTGGACGACGAATCTAATCAGCTATTGTCAGAATCTATGCATTCGATGTCAGTTGAGCGAGAAAAGAAGGATCACGAAGATTCTTTAGATAAAATAGATAATGTAATGAGAACTGAAGCGAGTAGCGAATTATCAGGTAACGTGGTGGATACCAACCAAGATAATAAGGATAAGAAAAGTCCGATGATGAACGAAGAAACTGAAAAAATTAAACCGGAAGTGGCAGAGGAAGCACGCACAGAGAATTCACAAGTTGCACCTTTAGCACAATTTGAACAAGAATTGTTAGAAGAAAATAATAGACTCGACACGGCGGATGAAAAAATTACAGTTCAAAGTAAACCTGATATTATAAATGCGGATTGTACCGATATTCAGGAGAAATTTGAAGAGAAGCAAGCGAGTATTGAAGAGCTTCCAGAAAGGCAAAGCAGTAAAATTGAAGAACCGAATAGAAAGCGGGAAAAAGTTGAACAAGAAGAGTTGCAAAGTCAGGAGAAATACGAGCAAGAAAAATTAGAAGTACACGAGGAATGCGAGCAAACGAAACTAGAAACACACGAGGAATGCAAGCAAGAAAATTTGCACGTTCAAGAAGAAATCGAGCAGGAAAAACTGCACGTTCAAGAAAAAATCGAGCAAGAAAAGCTGCACGTTCAAGAAAAAATCGAGCAAGAAAAACTGCACGTTCAAGAAGAAATCGAGCAAAAAAAATTAAAAATTGAAAGTAAAAGTGATGAAGAAAATGTAAAGGAAAAAATGGAGGAAGAAATCGTAGGTGTGACAGCAGTGCCTCTAGAAGTAACAGAGTCCAGGAAAGACTCGCTGAACGAGTCGATGAAACACGACAACGGACACGAAGAGACTGAACCAAATACGCGTGATGAATCCATTATTGACGAACGGACAGGAAAAGATGCAGAAAATGAGAAGAAAGAGAAAACTGAAGATCTTTCAGGGAAGATAGAGAGATTAAAGAGTGTTCACGGGCCAATTACAAGCGCAATATCGGAGCAATCGGTGGAAGGCCGTTCTCGTTTCGGATATTGGACCACAGAGACGAAATCGTCGACCGTGGAAACGGTAATCGAAGCTTCCGATTCCAATACGAGTACAGACGAGAGGATGGAGATTGTTGCCGATGTGCCAGAAATCGTCGCGGACGAATCGCTTATACGGAAGAAAGACGATTTCCACTCTGCGGTCGTAAAAATTCAAGCTTGTGAGTAAAGCGCAGCGTTTTGATAAAATTACGTCGATTCTTGAATTATGTCGCGTTAGCGCAGTATAGATAATTCTCTATCGACTTTCTTATCTCTTTTACGGCACTTAAATATAATAATAAACTCATACTACATTTAATATAATAAAATCAGGAAGCAACAAGAAAGTTCAATTAAGAGGTCGCGGATATAAATTACATCGTAATGTCATTAATTTCATCGAGATTAGAAAGTAGAGTAATATTATTTTTAGAGATTTATGACGTAATTTGATGGATAAGTAATAAAGATAATTTTTTGAAGGTATCCGGGGATTTTTAACGCGTCGCCGCGAGCGAAGAAGTTTGAGATCAGAATTGGTTTCGAATAATGTTCCATCGACGCAGAAGACAGTTACGGTAAATATAATTATAATAATCTTGATCAATTTTAATAAATTACCCTTGATTGTTCAAAAAATAATTATTGATATTATCAAGGATAAAATAATAATAATTCAAATTCAAATTTAAAAATAATAAAATATAGCGGTTATATAGTTGTATAGAAGATTAACGTGTTGCATAAAAACATTAATATAAATTGTGTGATATAAGTATATAAAATCTAATAAAATCTCTTATGCCATTATCGCATTCTAAATGGAATACGATAATTTTGCACATGGCCATTCAATGCGTTGAAACCGATCTTGGAATTGAGTCCATCGGTTTTCCTCTGTTTTACTGGACCAAACAGCTGGACGCAATATTTCGCACGCCACGCCCGTCGGAAGTTTATTACGTAAAGAAGGAAGCGGCGGGTCACTGCTAAACGTCAGCGCTTTCGTGATTGCAACAGGCGGTTTGGCAGTAACCGGCTTGGCAGATAGACCCGAGTTTTCGTCCCTTAAAATAATTGTTTCTTAAATCAGAATTGACGTCCACGGTCTTGCGAACGTTGTTTCTATTCTGTCTTCTTAAAAACTTTATGTCTCAAAATAAAATTTACTTATGCTAATTATTTATTTATCATTCTCCTTTAATAAGCAAAAGTGCTTTTTAAAAATAGTGATTAAATAACTGATTAATTGATTAACATGCTTTTCCTTTTTTCAATACAAATCATAATATAATTGAACTTTAATTATTAATCTGTAGAGCGGTCGTCTAGCGGTACCGCAAGATACTTTGAGTCTACGAGAAGCCAGACGTCTTCGACGAGAGGAAGCTTTGCGGAATACGACACTTTCGTTGGAAAATGCCTTCGCGACGGGTCGGCTTCAACATACCGGCGAGTTTCACGATTCTGTGCCGTTGTTTCCTTTCGATCTGACGAATAGTAAGATTAATTCAGTCACCTCGAATGATTCTTCGGACGAAGAGATTGACATAGAAGAAGCTAATCCACCTGATACTACGAAATCTAGCGCCAACGGAGGTGATCCTGCGTAAGTAATAACTCGTATGAAGAATGCCGTCTATTATGCTTCAAATATTATTCGTTGTCTGGCATCTTAAGTTAAAATCATATTTGCGTAAACATCTTTCGCCACTTCTCATACAGTCGCAACAGCAAACACGGGACGAGTTTCCACAAAGGCAACGCCTTCGTCGATCCCACTTTTCCGATCGTGATGCACTTGCTGACGGACGCATCCCGCAATTGTCACTTCTCAGTCAGCCAAAACTCCCATTCTGATTTTAATGCAAGTGTCGGAGGAGCGAAGCCCATGGACTTCCTGCAGATGCTGGGCTATCCGAGAGACGACGAGAATCAGTATCTGAACTTTATAACCAGCGTCGAGGATTTGGGCTCCAATATGGATTCCTTGCCTCTGGACGATGACACGGTGAAGAGTACGAAGAAGAGTACCGACGACCCTCGTCCTTCGACGACCTCTGGCGAGGGCAGTCTCAGGGAGCCCTTGGCCCTTCCAGGCGATTCACAGGGCGTCGTGATCGAGGAACTAACCAGCTTAGACGACCCCGTCCCGTCGGACTCGACGAAACCGTCGACCGCGCCGAAGACCTCGCTGGATACAAATAGCTCGATGCCGTTCGAAGAATGTGCCCTCGAAGACGCGAAGAATGATTTAGGGATGTCGCCGAGGGCCACGAGTGCAACGGGCAACCGGGAACAAGGAGCTGAAGGACAAGAATCCGCTCGCAACTCCGAAAGCGTCGGAGTGAGCGATTTGCGTAGCGAGGATGATGCGAATAAAAAGTCTAACGAGATATCTCGCGAACGCATGGAAGAAGAGAAGGACGATAAGACGTGAATCATACATTCGTAGAGACGCGTGGGCTGATACGAAGCAGGGCAGGAGTCGCTAATTGTATTGATCGATCAATTGGCTTCTCCGATTAGAATTTCATTGCACAGGATATTTTTATAAGAGGCACACTTGTGTTTTATATTACTCTTGTAGGATCTGGAGTGCCTGATTTTTAACTCGTTTATATAGATACAGGTAGACGGTACGAGGGTATCTCTCAGGAATAGTATTAGTAGACACGAGATCATGACACACATAGCGTTTAGTTATTAATTTAAATACGAAGAAAATGCAACGCGAGTTCTAGATTCGCAATTTTGTTACACAAGTGAACGGTCTTTCCTCGCTTTTTAAATAGATTGAAAATATATTATATAATATATCTTTGTATATGCAAAAAGCAACAATAAATTGCATATATAAGATAACTCAATTCGCTTTTACTTTAGAATATTTATCACATAAAAATATTGAAATCAATTAGTAAACAATATATAAATATAGCTGTAAAGTTGCGAATTAAGCATATTCTCGGTGATAAGATATTCCCGACGTTTCTGTTGCACAATTACGGCTCATGAATTAACTGCACGACTTGCAAAAATCTTGAATTGAGATGAAAATCTCTCGCTTTACGTATTTTCTAACATTTTGCATCTTTGCCATCCAATCATAGTTCCGAGAAAATCGCGCGAAAATGGAAGCGCGATACTGAGAAATTTTCGTCACAGTGAAGTTTTTGTATCCCTCGAACGTAGTTGGTCGCTAATTGCGTCCGTAATGATCAAAACGCTTCGGAATCGGACCGACAATGTTTTGCATTTGGATCACGCGGAATGCAAGCGGCTCGGATACGGACCTTGGTACATATTTTTAGTGCCTGCCGCGATCTAGAGAGAGAGAGAGAGAGCGAGAGAGAGAGAGAAACGGATGGCGATCAGTATCGTGGCCGTCGCGACCGTCCAGTGAGCGGGGATCCAAGGTAAGGGCACGACGTCGCGGTGACGTCACCGGGCGTCGCGACGACGACGCCGTCGTCGTTGCCGCCACTCGCGCGCAGGCATCATCGCGATCTATCGCGGCAGCCGTTTTCTTCCTTTCTATCCCTCGTGGTGACCATCGTCGTGTACATTGTACATCATTCAAAATCGATCACCGATAGTCGTGAGCGATCCGCTGCCGCAGCTTTGTCACATACGTCTGATATTTTTAAGAGGTAAGCGAAGTCAGCGAACGCGCGAGTGCAGCTGCAGGCCATGCAGATAAATAACTTCATTCCGAGAAAAATGTCGAGAAGATATCTGGATCGTATAACATCTTTTTTTTCTTATTCATATTTAAGGATCTCTGTACGTGTTCTAGAATAAACAACTCGACCTTTCGTCGATTTTCACAACCACGAAAGCGTCCTTAATAAAAATCGAAAATGACGAAATTGATTCTCTTTTCTAGAGAGCGCCTTCAATTTATTAATAGCGGATATGTATGTCACTTTAATGTCTATACTATGTTAGAATTTGCAAACGTTTCTTCTGGCTATTAATATTACATCGAGTGAAAAGAGTGATCTTTACTCCATACTTTTGGAAAAATTACAGTTTCAGAACTTGCAAATATCATTTTTGTCTGAAAATTTTTATGTTGACTAACGACATTCAATCCCTCGACTTCAACTGTAACGATAAGTAACATCATGCACATATCCATTTCTCTAACTTGGAGAACGTGTAAGATTACCGTGCAATTTTAAATCGTGAAATCTCAACATTACAATATAATTTAACTAATCTAACGAGTAATAATAATAATATTAATTAACAAACGACTACAAATACCGACGATACAATTTACGAGAACATTTTGTTGAACGCGAGATACGTGATGGAGAACCCGCGTAACGAAACGCTTCGCGGGTACGCGCGGAGATTTATGAACGCGGGATCGTTATCGATGTAACCGAGCCGGTCGATTGGACGACGGCGGGCGTATCGTTCGAGCGAGTATATTTTCGTGATGACGAGCATCGGTGAAGAGTTATGCGCGAATACGCGCCCGAGATCAAACGGCGGACGCAAACAAATTGGAATGTTCTTGGCCGCACGCGCGCACGCACGCGGACTTTCGTCGACACTCTCGCGAGCATCAATCATCAATCAGCGTATATTGGCCTCAGGACGACGAATTTACTGTGACGCGCATATCGAGACCGCGCTCACGAGACCGAAATTAATGCTGTGTCCCGGGCGATGTATTACGAACACTTTGCGAGCTCCCCAATACAGCGCGTTCTCCCCATGACACGACGCGATCAATCAAGCCGCAAGTGGAAGAATGAATGTCTGAACGGTGCTCAAACAAGTGTATCATATCAAGTTCCCTAAATTAAATCGTTTACATTATATTTCTCAATGAACGAGCGTGTCGCAGGAAAACAAGAGTATAAGAATGAAAATTGTGCCTTAAAAGTGAAGAAGTATCCAGGTATTTGATGCTTAAAAATTGCAAATGCACGTAACGTGGAGGCTTTTCAAAAAAATCCCGCATTTTTTTATCTCACTATCAAATTAAAAATATAATATACATATAAGATATTAATATATAAAATAATACACACAAAAGGTAAGGTAGAATTTTTCAAAATGGGATAAATACCTATTTAAAAAAAAAAAATAATTTTTTTATTTGATGCACGGTTTAATGGCAGGTCGAATTGCTCTCCAACCGCACATTTTTCTGGTTCAGTTTTCTCGTAAGGCGAATAAAATCCAGTACACTTGCGTTTTTAGCTTTATTTAAAAGCGAAGGCCGTCCCGTCAGCTATCGGACGATCGGCACTCACCCTCTGCCAACTTTGTACGAAATTAACCATCCTCGGATGCGTGAAACAAGACGTGAAGGCGATCGACGGCACGGAGAACCGAACGCGGGCCTCTCTCGCACGCGGGTTTATCATCAGCAGAACGCATGCGTGATAGATCTATCCTTCGTTCGAGGCGGATAAACCACGCTCGTCGAGTCGACGCGCGCCTCTTTGTCGCGCATCCGTTCGCGCCGTCAGTTTCCCATTTCGCTTCTGGCCAGGAGGACGCGCGATAAGGAAATCGGAGCGCGGCGATCGGAAGTGAGCGAGAAAGTGTTCTGCGAAGAGGAACGATCGTTCGCGTCTTCGTATATCATCCCCCGTGAGATAAGATTCCCGCTATCCGGGGAATCGGGAAGATTGTCAGGCTTGTTCCGTCTACTCTCTCGGATCAATATAGATCGAATACTTATAGATCATCGTAGATCCAGAATCCATTGGAGTCCGTTTTCACAATTATTTCCTGCGATTCACTTTGCGGATGTTCGATCACGATCGACACTGCGAAATAATTGAGAGAATTGTGGGTTTTCTTTCTGAAGAAAATCTTTACAAAAGAAAAAGCCTTTTTCTTTCTCTCTAGTATCGATATTTATAGATGATCGAAGGTATCCTGAGGTGGTTGTGCGTCCCATTTCCGCTGGCGAGAGCATAAATAATCGAGGGATTATATTACCCCAGCCACAAGATCACCTCGCTTCCGCCTTGAAATAAATCTTTAAAAATAATTCAGGAATCTTCATCTCTCTCTCTTTATTCGGCTTTCCTTGGAATGCGATTCCGATAAATCGCCAGAAGAAACTCTCGAATAGGTCCGTCCTCTCGGGAACGATCTTTACAAATAATCAAGAATAGCTTGAAATTGTTTTCGCTTTTGGGATCGAGCTTTGTAAATAAGCTGAGGGTACGCGAACCTCTCTCCGGAAACGCTCTTTGTAAAGAATTTCGGGAGAAAACGCCGAGTTTCTGCGGAGTCGGCCTTCGCTTGTGAAACAACTTGGAGGACTCGGATCGAACGGGCTTTAACAACCGAGACACGGAGCTTCGCGTGACCGACTCAGAATTCCGTTCATGTCGCAGACCCCGAAGGAGGACGCCGACGCGATGAAGGCCAACACGGCGGCGACGAAGATCCAGGCCAATTTCCGCGGGTACCGTGTGCGCAAGCAGCTGAAGGAATCCACGCAGCGTCGTCGTCCACAGCAGCAGCAGCAGCAGCAGAATCATCAGCTGCAGCTGCAGGACCAGCAGCGGAACCAGCAGAAGCAGGAGCATACGAAGCCGAAGGACCATTTGCTGAAGAGACAGAGCACTCGGGAGGCGCTCGAGGAGAAGTCGGCGACGAAGATCCAGGCGGGCATTCGCGGCTTCCTGGTGCGGAAGAGGCAGCAGGTCGTTCAGGCCGCGGCGACGAGGATTCAGGCCGGCTTCCGTGGCTTCAAGACGCGAAAATTGCTGAAGCAGAACGGTCAGTAGGCTGTTCCTGCCCGGGTACCTTCCCTGACGTGAGAGAGGCGACGTGGGACGTTGACGTGCGCAAGAGGTTCTCCTCGTTTATGTCCCGTGATTGCGCTGACGTAAATTAAAGGCTGTTACCGATGTGACCGTGCGCTTGAGTTCCGGGGCTTGAGTAATGGAAGACGTGATAATTATTTCGATCTACATTCCCAATTCGCGTTTCTCTCATGCTCTCTAACATAATTATACTTGGCCATTAAACACGCAAATTTCTCTTCTTGCGAATCTGAAATATGATCTTCTCTAACTTGTATAATGCCGTTGGTAGAATTACGAAAATTAATCGTTTTTAAATATATATTAACAAATTTTTACAAAAATTTTTTAATTTAACTTAGAAGACACATGTTGTGCTTGAAGACAGATATATTATATAATATATCTTATATATTATTATATAATGCATATATATGTAGATGTGTATTGTACAGTAACAGAATAAATTGAATAAAATAAAAAATTATTTTTCCCAAATTTAAGAAAATTTTCTTAGCAAAAACGGGCAAAACATATTTTTTTATCTTTACTTGATTTAATGATTTAGCTTAATCTTGCTTCTGAGTGTTTTGAAATAGTCACAGAATACTCATGTGCCTTAATAGGCATTATCTAATACCTTTTTTTATTCCGTCGTTGAGTGTACGACAATATAGAGAGAATTTTTCATGAAATATAATAGCATTATTTTCTTCTGTCTTTGAAACGTAATAGCTCGCAATGATCGCGACGATTGCGTGCAAATATTAATCGGCACTCATTAACTGCAGAAGGAAAATGTAAACAGCTGCAACATGTGTCCGCGACACATCTCGTTGCTTATAAGCGGTTTAAATATAACGTCGAGCTCGCGCCCCGAAGCCCTTGACCCTTAAATTCATCTTAGTACCGAATTCTTTGGCACACGTCTCTCTCGGCCTTCTTCATATACTTGTTCTCATACCGTGTATCGTTTGTTTTTCAGCATTTTGCGGATTCCCTTGTGACTCGGACGAAACCCTGCGATTGGATCGGAGGCGCGGAAGGAAACGACGATTTCGATTTTAAATTAATTACATTGTTTCGCGATGTATGACACGTGTACGCTTTTTGGGATACTCCGTGTATCTTTGGACTGTAACTTCGTTAATCCTGTCGAGAGCCATTTCGGGAATTAATCGATGACAATTAGTGGAACGTTATTTTAGCGGAACGACAATTTATCATTGTTTTTATTTCGATTTTTTTCCATAATGGCTTTTGTACGACAACGATGGCAATAAATGATAATGAAGAAAGAAGTAATGAGATCGAAGAAGAAAAACGGTTGAGACATATATATATATATATATATATATATATATATATATATAATATACATATAATAGAAGTTAGTTAAATAATTATATAAATCTCTTGATATACTTTCTTGTTATTTCATATCAATTTTTTATGTATTTAATATAATTAAAGCGTCGATTATATAAATTCGAATATTGCAAATTAATATCAAAGATACTTCTGTATCGTAATTTCGTATATCCGTGCAATTCTGTTGATAAATAATATTTGTGTAATGACTAGCGCATGAAAGATGTACATATAATATATACTTTTTGTCGTTGTACTTGTACGATTCCGTTTCAATTTTGTGAATAATAAATTTTTAATCTTTATAACAATGACTTTTAATGGTGGTATTTAATATAATAATGTAATTAAAGAAGTCCTACATTGGAAACTACTTTGTAAGTACATTTCTTATTATTCAATGTATTTTTATATGTCATTTTTGAACTGCTTGCAAATGAGATTTACTGTATGCACGCGTGTGTAAATCTGATGCGTTATCCGACGAGTAAAGCAGTTCACCAGTATTTCTGGATGGCAGCACTTGATTACAGGAAAGACATGTCTTCAATATAGGTATGAGATGCTTTAATACCTTTAATTTTAATTAATTTATGTTTGTAATTTGACATCAAGTTTTCTTTAAAAAATAAGAAATTCCAAAGATGCTGATAAATATCAATAAAAAGTATATATTTAAAATAAAAGAAGAGGCGATACCGAATCTAGAAGATGCGGAAGAACGCTTTTACTTGCAAACAGCTGAGAGTTATCTTCATTTATCGTCGGCATAAACAAACCATTTCAGCGCGTTGCGCATGAAGCAGGCCGGTCCCGTTCAAGAGCGCGGATAAACGAATTAATCCGGGATGAGGGAAGGTAACGTCAATGACGCGCACGTGAATGCAACCAATTTTATTCTGTTGTCCGTTACATAGGGCGGCGTTCGTCGAAACATTCGTGTCCAGTTTTCGCAGGATTAATCGAGAGCTGCGCTAAAAAGGTACTCGCCGTTCCTGAGGCGTTTTATGGATGACTAATCGGCGCGAGAAAAGTGCCGATGAAAAAGTTGACTATATTTAGCTATTTTTTTTGCGTTTATTAATAAATATTAGTAACAGTCAGTTAGTGAGAGGCAACGGTATTGACATACTGATAATATTTATCTAAGCGAGCGCGCTTTATCGGGAGATCCGTCGTCTCGCAGGGAGATCCCACTCTCCCTGCGACGCTCTTCAAAGAACTGAACGCGTCGACATTAATTAAAAATAAATATTAAGATAAATGCGAAGTGTCGATATAGCTTTCGTGAATATATATATAATGTAATTAAAATGTCAAATCGGAATGTCAAATTAACTGTTTCACGGGGTGGGAAAGGGATATGGGAAGGGGGGGAGGGCTTTTGTATCTTTCTCGCTCACTTCGTTCTCAGCGTCATTTTTCTGCAATCCGGCTTTGCACCGCGACGCTTTTCGACTCTCGGCAGAGAGTCCGGAGAGTCCCGGCTCTTCGGTGTTTCCCGGCGTGGGAAACGCAATCGTAGATCCCGTCGATCATCCCTCGCTACCTCTATCTTTCACAGCCAAGAACCATGCACGATGATTCATCGAACATCTCACGAGATCAATCTAGCCGGCGACGCACGCTCGCTGAGCGCGCGGACACGGGCGCGCGTTTTATTATATGAGACGTGCGTGTACAAAGGCAGGGATAACATAGTAATTAAAAAAATCACAGAAATGCCATTATACACGGACAAAAGGCACCGTCGTCTCCTGGGGGAAAGGGGGGAAGAGGGGCGGGGGGAGATGATAGAGACGGGCTCCGACAAGTTGTCTATCACAATTGGCAGATACCTAATGAGATTACATCGTGAAATGCAATAAATAATTCGGAAAATTACTAATATATATCCGCGTTTCTCTCCACTTTTCCCATTTCACATTCGCACCTCTCACATTCGATCGCCTTCTCATCCATCCGTCGTCCTCTTCGTCCATCCGGGGGTCAGGTTGGGTATATCCGTTTACTTGGCGATTCTGCCGAAGATATCCGTGAGATAGCTCCGCGTCTCCAGGCTCTGATGGGGCAGACAGGTGTTCGCGAAGCACGTGAGGTTGTCGACGCTGCAGCCGGTGCATCGGTTGCAACTGCAGATCAGTCCGTCGCCGCACACGCCCCAGGACTCGCTTGGCCCGCCGCAAATCTGCCCGGGGCCCTACGGTAAATCGGCGCCGATAAGAATAACCGCGAAAGCGTCGCGCACTTGTGGAATTCTCATCGACCTCCCAAATCGGGACCAACGAAACGTCGAGGATAAAGACAGAAATAAAAATTGCGCGAATTTATGTTAAATTTTGTAACGTCAAATAAATTTTGTATAAAATAAATGAAATTTTTGTTAAATAAAAAACTGTAACATAACCCGAAATCTGACTGTGACTTGAGCTTCGAATATACGAAACTTTAAATAAAAAATAAAACCGAAATTTTATTCAACTTTATAGTAAATCTTGAATTTTGGGACGGTACTTAACCCTTAAATGCCACATCTCTCAAGAATCTCGTAAATGACATGAGGGGTCTAAAAGACCCCAGCATGAAAAATGTCTCCTTACTCATTGCTTTTTTTATCTTTAGTTATGACAATTTTTTTCAATGTTGTTCAAGGCTTTGAAAAGAGAATAAAATGCTCATATTGTTAAAATTTCAATTTCAACATAGTATAAAAAATTAAAGTAAACTGAGTACTGCTAAGTGTACGAACGTGTAGGTCAATCACTCAACTATCATCAATGGGAGCATATATGAGCTCCATTTTTGGCAAGAATATTTGAAAATATATCATTGTAAAGGGTCTGGGGTCCGCTGGACCCCAGGGGGCATTTAAGGGTTAAAGACGATCTTCTGTAGCGGGACAACGTGTCGTATTATTGTGTAATCGTTAATCGGGCGTTCTTACTCACTTTTCGGCATTCCGAGACACCGCAGAGGGTTGACGTTGTGACACCGAACTCGCACTGATCGCACTGGTCGCCGCAGCTCTCACACATCGGTCTTGCCTCGTGCCGTTGTGCGATCGCGGGATAAGCGTGGCACTTGTCGATCCTGGAAACATTATCAGAATCACGTTAATTGCCGTAACATTTTAATAATTGCGTAAAACTTTATTCATTATTTATACTTCGTTATCACACGTTGTTTTTAATACTTACAGGAAGATCGCGGCCAGGAGGACGATTGCGTGAATAAGTTGGAAGGTAAGCATGGTGATCCGCGCCGATCTGAAACAGAGATGACGTGTACGTGAATCGCCGTGCTTTTCTTTTCATATAGAATTTTACACGAGCTGGTGTAAAATCAAATCGATGAAATTCTTGTTTGAGAATAAAACCCTTAGATATGTCTAAACCATTATCTTTTTACGTATCAATCTTTCGAACCTTTCCTTTATCTCGATAATGAAGACGGCGATCCTTGTGTTTACAATTATAATAGTTGAATGAATCTACAGTATCTCGAAAAGCGGCCGGAGCATGAATTAAATAACGAGGAAAAAAAATAAAATTTACACTAAAGATAAAAATTCATTATTTTTGTCATTTATGACAATGCCTCGCGATAGTTATTAACTAAAAGTGCATTTCCGACACATTTATCAATTTAACACTGCTGAAGCGGCCTTGCGTTTTCATTGATTAGCTTAATTAACGACTTTCGCGGTTCGTATCAAATATCAATGCGAGTTCCATTTATGCCATTTTGATTACGCAGAATATAATTCCTTTGTAAAGGATGATTAATAATTAATCGGTTGCTTCTCGTAGGAAATAATTTGTCTTACTTTTTAAAATAATAACTAATGATTTTCTCATAAATCCCAATTATCGCAACGCCACGGATGCGGATTATCTTTCTAGTTACCGAGTTCAATCACCCCGCTTCAGTGTCTCGGCATTATGCGCAGCAATCCGGCACAGAATCGACAGAAATATCGAGGAGGTAGATATCAGCGTGCCAGCAAAATCGATCTCTCATCGCCAATGTGCCACTATATAGCTGCTACATGTTTGCAGCGCGAGCACGTAGGGCGAATGGTATTTCGGGCCTTCTCTTCCTCTTTCTTTTTCTCCAAGGTACACCAAAAATGTGTTGTACAAATGATTCGCTGCAGAATCCAATTATATTCGTTCGAGAAAACGCACGTATATATAATTAAGTCTGGGTAAGAGATCGAAGGGCGTTCTTCTATCCGCCAGAAGGTCGCGTGTTACCTTACGACATATATCCAGGAGTTGAAGAATAAAAAATGCGTGGATCTCGATAGATTCGCCAAAACACAAACACACCAGGTGATGCGCACTTCAGTGTCTGACATAAAGGCACTTCAAGACATACGGCCATCAAATGTAGCGTGAAGAATCAACCGTGACATATCTACAATGAAGTAGAATCTATATGATGCTCTAACATGTCTGTAGAGATTCACGATTATACTATTTATTCCATGGAAACGCTAGTGAACAAAAACATGATGATGATGGATGATGATGATGATAATGATGATGATGATGATAACGATAATAATGACGATAATGATACTGCAGTCGCGATGCGAGAACCGCGGAAAAGCGTTCGTGCCGGCGACTCGTCGCGCGAATTAAACGGGCAAAACTGATGTCCCACATCGCCACGATGGTCCCCACTCTGCATATAGCGAAACGGTTTAGTCGCAGCCTCCGTGACTCCGTGACGCGGGGCGTGATTTATCGATAAATGTAGAAGAGCGAAAGGGCAACCGAACCAAGGCGTACCATTGCCGAACTCCTTCGCCTTAGGAACGGGTCCAATTGTTTTCCTTCGCCGCTGATGCATCTGCCATCCCCCTTCGATCGAGCGCTTATCAAAGCTTGCTAGAAATTCAGAACGGCGTAAGACGGTCCGAGTTCGAGAGAAATTAAAAGCGACCGGGAAAGTCGGACTGCACAGCAATAAGTTCCGCAATCTCCCGACGCGGTGAAAGTAAGGCTGAGATAAGGTGATTTTTAATTAACGATATTTATCGGTATAATAGATGATGCAGCCACAACATACATGATTAGTCTCATTAATATGTCATTAATGCGATTAGTTTCTCATCTTTACTTTGTTTTTGTTTACCGATTTATCGGTTATTTTTCTCGGACTGTCGTAACTGTGCGTTCAGCGTAAACTTTGATAATTCAGAATTTATAACAGTAAGATTAAATAAATAAAATCCTAATTTGCATTAACCGCGGTTCGCCGGTCACACGCGATCTGACCGTGCGACTTTGCGGAATCTCTTTGCGCTAAACAAATTCGAGAGGTGGATTTTTTAAACTCTCCCCGGGTTCGTTGGCCGAAAAGACGCGTTGTTTCTCGGAGTAAAAGCAAACAAGCGGATCACTCCCGCTATTCTGTCCGATTGTGCTAATAATAAACACAAACATTTTGCGCGGCCACATGATCCACTTTCCGCCGAACAAGGCTTCCCTTCTTCCCTCCCACGACTGTTCATAAACATCCGTTCATAAACAAGGAAATTGCGCCGGCTGACTCAGCATTGATACTCGAATCTCGCGGCCTCCTTTACTCCGTTGTTCTGTTTCGGCGAGCGCAAATGTGGGTGCGACAAAAAAAAAGAATTTACTTTATCTTGCATTTGTCTTCCTTATCTATTATGCAGTAATCCTTATCTATTAACTTCCTTGTTTTGTATAATTGTGTCGCAATCTTATCTATATATGTTTGTAGGTCATTATTTTCGGAGTCCAGAATAATAATCTTCCTGCCGCTATATAAATATTGCAATTGGAGACTTTGATCCCTCTAAAAGCGCAATAAATATGATAAAACAACACTGATTCGACCTTCTAATCCCGTATTTATCACTGTCTTTTCTCTTTGGACTCTCTCGGAGATGCACGAACCCAAAGTACGATCCTGAACGCGCCGTAATTATTTTTTCCGCGAATTCCGCGAACAATATTTGTTATTCGTGTCAGCGCATCTATATATGCGCTGTTCTAATATCGTGTATCTCGAGCCGTGTCAGCAAATGCGCAATCGGCGCATGTTTCCACAAAAAAAAATCATTATTAAAATAAGATAATGGAAATGCAGATATGGCGTCAGACGGCGCGTCTTGTGCAATATTTTCGTCTCGCGCAGACACCGGCTACGTTCGGTTTGCGTGTTCGCGGCCTTTTGTTTGAGAGGGAGCTGCGGGAACGAAAGAATATCACGCTTTTCGGGGTGCACAAAAGCGCGACCGCTGATTATTTGCGGAGATGCTACATCCTTCTCATTGTGGGTCATTGCGTCGAACCGCGGAGTCTTTCTAAATTTCGCTGGGAGACGGCGTAAAATTAGCTATCCCAGACGACGCGGACGGCTGGCCGATTCCCTCTCGATGAGTGAAAACATACGTGCCGCGAGAACCGGGTCAATGACACGTGCAACATGCAGGTATTCAAAATCCAATTTCCGATTCTTAGGCTATATAAACCGATTTCGTGCGTTACTAGAAAAGAAAAGCGAACACCGTGTAAATGCGAACAAGAGAAATTTTGAAGCTGCCAACGCGCGCGCTAAACGCGACTCCGCTACGTTTAATATATACGAGTGCAATCTCCGTGTTAAATAAATAAGAATTGGAACGTGGCGCACAAATACGGCCCACGTTTCTTTAAGAAACAATAAATGTCGCTGTTTATTTTCGCTGGCACTATTGCACCGGAACTAATCTCACGTGGCGGTCGCGCGTATTGATGTTTCCGTGGTCACATCGACGCAATCATCGGTACTAGGAATCAGCGGAATCATCGGTTAAAATCGTGCTCTCCGCGACAGTAGTGAATGACGCGCATCGTCAGACAACGTTGAAATTCGGCGCATGGAATTCTCAATGAATTCACGGTGTGATTAACCCTTCGAATTTAGCCCGAAATAATTTCGCCACAGATTTATTTTGCGCGTGTGTAAATGGCTTCGTGTTTTTTTTTATAGTTTCATTGCTTCATTGCGGGTGCATAATTAATATACATAATTAATATACATAAATTTTAATATCATTATTTTACGCGCGATATAAATATTTATGATAGCAGTTTAGAGGAAAATGTTTCATGACACATAAGCCCAAAGTATTGAAATATTTTACACGGTACATTTTGCACGTGGCTGAAAAAAAAAAGAAATAAATAAGTCATGATAGAATTTTTGTAATTTTTAAATTTAATATTTACAGAATATTTAATTCTTGGACGCAAAATTTTCAATCTCAGGAAATCACGGTCTTTAAAACTCGTAGCTAAATCATAAAATACATATAAGATGATAGGCGATAAAAAAATCCAAGTCGGGAAGTTCTGATTATCGCGAATGGTCAGTCTGACAGCTTGTAAGCGTGACTCTGCCATATATAGCGAGTCGAAAATCACGAATGATTTTACAGGACTGCGCGTTCTCCATTCAGCCGGATCGTGTAGGGGTATAACGCGTAGAGAAAATCCGCGAGGGAGCTTTCGCGGTTCGGAAAACATTCGCGTTCCGATGAGACGCGACATCGCGCCTCTGCCTGCTAAGAATAGCCGAAGAAATTTGCGTTGCTCGACGCAGATGCCAAATTCTCCCTCTCCCTATCTCGCGCTCTTTTCTCCTCCGTTTCGTCGTCTATACTCTTCTTCCTCTATTCGCAGTATTCGCACCCGCCCCGTTGGTCCTGTCTCTTCTCTTTATCTTTCGCTGCGGTCTCTCCTTTATTTATTTTTATATATCTTCCTCAGCACCGTTAGATCTCTTCATCCTCCACTCTTTGTTCTCTCCGTTTCTTATTTTCTGATTATATCTCTTCCCTCTTCTGCCACCCTTTTATCCCATCCCTTCTCCACTCTTTCGTTTTCTTTCTCTCTCTCTCTCTCTCTCGCTCATTTTCTGTCACATGCACGTATTCACGTACACACATCGTCTTATTTCGTTGCTCCGCTAGTACAAAGACCGACTGGACGGTCAGTCTCGTACCAGTTAGCATTCGTTTTGGACGTGTGCGATCAAACAAACGGCAGCGGCGAAGTCGTTCCATAGTGAGACCCCGCAAAGACATATCTTTTGAAAGTGAATCTCGAGTCTCGATAATACGGAAGAGCTAAAGGATTTTCAGAGAGAAGGAGAAAAAATTCGGTTCCCGAAATTCGCGATTGTCTCGTGAAGAGTTGAATACCCCTTCATCGTCGTTTCAAAGTGAGTAGCTGGGGCACCTTCGATATTTATTTGTTCAATCCGTTCTAATTCTAACAATCAAATTATGTGTTTTGCATGTATAAATATCAAAAAATCAATATATATTGTACGAAGTCGTATGTTTTAATTTTGAATGCAATTTTATTCTTTAAAATCTCTGACTGACTGTTAGATATGTATGTAACCAGTATAAGATCACAATTGGAATAAAATTAAATATAAGAAAGATGTTACGTTATGTTAGCTTATAATTATGTGTCTATAGTATCAGTGTGAATGCAAGTAATTCTCTCTTTTTACCATTTTAACGTTGCAGTTTAATTTAAATTTTGATACATTGAGAAGATTATAGAATCAGAAACGAATAATAATCAGAGTCACCTCATGGTAATTAATTCGTAAAAGAAATTTAATAAAGAATTAAGAGTAAACACGTGTCTCGGACGAGGCAAACGTATCGTAGAACCGATTGCCTCGGGCCTGTGATGATTGCATATTTAAAGATTCCCATCGCGTGGTTTGAGCTAAATGCGGCGTCTGATTCTGCGTCTTATTTACTTCGTACACAGATCACCTTCAATGTAGACGTGGAGCAACAATCGGATAGGTAGGCACGTTTGGCACTAAATATGCTTTGACGTATATGACCTATGTTTTCATTTCTATTTAATACCTCTTTGAATTATGAAATAAACTGTTTGTGAAATTTTTCACATTGCCTCCTGTTATTTTTAGGCATTTTCTTAAAAGGCGAGACTCACGCGGTAAAACGAATTTCCAATTAAGTTGCAAGAAGAATAAATCAAAGCAAAACGAAGGAAAATCAGATTTATCGTTAAAATTCGAAATCAAAATTGCACCTTTTTTGATATCTTTGCGACAAAATTCGAAAGCAGCCGACTTTTATACGCGCGTGGTAAGTGTCGTCGTCTGTTAACGATTCAGGATCAATATTTTCGATGCACGTGCACTTTAGATTTGCACCGGAAGTCGAACAAACATGTTTACTATTAACTGCTGACCCAACCAAAACATTGTGTGTCAACCACAAAATGCAATTTTCGAAATTTGTGCCAAACGTGCCACGTTGCCCCCGCATTTTTACATTGACCAATGTATACCTCATCGAATCATCTGACGTGTGTCTCTTCACGTGCGTCATCATGGATGTGCAAAATTTTGCCAAGAAAAAGAAACATTTTAATTAATTAATAAGTATATTAGTCATATTTCGCGAACCGCATGTGCGAGTTAAAATTTTATAATAATACCTAATAATTCCAATTCATGAAATTGGACGATTTCCTCGCGAGAGAGGTGAGATGGACTGATTTTCTCGAGAAAAAATCAGTCGGAGGAAAATGAACTATTTAATTATCGTCTGTACTGTCCCCCCCCCCCTCACGTCAAGAAATATAGGCGGTTCCCAATTCTCAAAGGATAACAAACAAATCACGCATACCAGACTATAAATATACAGAAACAGAACGATTGGTATGGTAAACCGTGAAAGCGAAACGGAAGCACATCGCTTTCTCTTCCTCGCTCAAGAAAGAGTAAGAGGGAAAGAGAGAAGGCACAAATCTTTGCGTGAAGAGAGGCGTCTCGCGGTTAGAAATAGGTTGAAGTGCGTCCGATATAGAGAAGCCGCGTGATGCAGAAGATTTGAAGATCTACGTTAGACGACTTGCCAAGAGCGACGCGATGCGAACGATTTCTGGCGGCATGGCACGCTGATCGAGCTCATTTGAGCTCAATGTCGTTCTCCTCTCGGAATTCCGAGCTTGTCGTTAAGCAATTAGCGAATTTTCCAAGCTTGCGATTAATGTATTAGACTTTATTAATTGAACTTGGTTTACCGTTTATTGATCGTTCTTCAAAAAATGTCTATGCATCCTAACGAAACAATCGATAAAAAAAAAAAACTACCTGAGGATATTAGATAATTCGCAGCGATAATAATAAATATGATTGCTATAATGTAGTACATAGATATGTGACTTTTAATTAATTTTATAAATGATAAGATAAAATTTCGAAGAACACGTTTGATTTGTTGCACGATTCAATTGAGGTATTTGATATTGCATTTCTCTTGATGTATGATGTTACAGATGCTTACGCAACGTGCGAAATTTTATGAAGAAAGAGAAAAAATTTAATTTATAAATAACATTTTCGAAAACCACGTTCTAAAATTTTATAATAATTCAATATTTGAAATTTGGACGGCTTCTTCGCGAGAAAAATGAGACGGAATTCCGTACATCGAGGATAACCGGTTGGAAGAAGAGAAACTATTTGATTATATCATTTCTGCTAGTTATACAACGTCAAAGTATACGTTCCCGAAGAGTAATAAATAAGCAACGCATACTAGACTGCGGATAAATATACAAAGATCGGGGAGGCTCTCAAAATTATTGTGTGTTTGATGTTCAGAGAGAAGAAATTAAAAAAAACCTACAAACTCTTGAAATTGATATTGACGAAAAAAAATCTATATTTTTCTTGTTTAATTTCAGGATTGACGAGATGGGTATGATAGCGCGCGTGAGGCGTCGCGTCCGCGCGAACTCGCTGACGGTCGACAAGGAGAAAACGGCGCAAAGTGTCTGCCTTCTAAGCGCGGTTCTTCTTCTGCCCTATTGCCCGCGCGGCCCGCTGCCGCTTCTGCCGTCGCCCGCACCGGTCCTGTATTCAGCCCTCGTCCTGCCGGTCGTCTTAAGCGCGAATTACAGGTACCCGGTCCCGACCCTCAAGACTCTCGCCGAGGCGGCCAAAGGTACGAACGGATACTCCGACACTGACCTCTCCACATCCACATTAGCTTCTCGATTTTATCTTCAAACTAAACTGGGAAACCGACTTTTCCACTCCAGATCCTTGTGATCTGAATCATTTTTCTTCTAGAATATCGCTTTTCGGAATTCGAAATGAATTTTTAACAACGAGATCACCAATGCAATGGTTCTCTCTTTAGCTCCGAGACGACATCGGCTAAAGCTGAATTTTATTTAAAAAAAAATTTAACGGTTTTTTCAGATGATATGGATGTAGGATTTTTAATCATATAGGTAGTCCACTTTTTAATTTATAAAAAATAACATTTAAATCGCGGTATAATGTAGCATCGTGATATGTTTCAATCTCAGCTGAATCGATACGGACGGATCGGAACGGATTAATTAGAACATTGTACTCGCAATCAGTGTATGATAACGCGTACACAGTTAAATATTAAAAGATGAAAGTTAAACTAATACCCTGAGTTAAATAACATTTTGTTATTTTTAACTACCATATGTGTCGAAATTTAACAAAAAGTAGTATTATTTTAACTTCACATAGTTTAATTAAATTAACGACGTATTGAGTAGGAACAATGGCGATCTATAGAAGTGTTTAAAAACGATCGAAGTTGAGTTAAATTCGACACTATGAATGACAGTGTAACATTAGTAGTACATGTCAATTGGTTCAAACTATACAAATCGAGTAGTGCAGAAGTAGCCGCGTTCCGCGAGCTTCGCGAGGAATTGGCCTAGGTCGCGTCTACCACGACCGTTGTCCTCGCGCACTCACCTGAACTCTAGAATCCTCTCGCTGCCTATACCGTTGGTCTCGTCACTAATCGGCGATGATCCTTGTCGCGCAGACGTCAAGTCGCTCAATGCACGGCCGGAGACGGAGCGCGGTTAGTTTTATAGGTAGCAGAGGCAGGCCCTCCGTCCTGATGTCTTCCAACCGGGGGATGGGAGATCCTTCGGTTGCCATGTGAAATCCTACGGGTTCCACGTAGCCGCACACCGCTACGTCGCCTCCTCCAGCATCCGTCCTTGTCTCGTCCTGCACCGCCATGTCGTCGGTGACTCGTCCTGACTGACGTCCAATGTCCATTAATATGCAAATCTTCTCTCGCCGGCTCTCTCTTGGGACTCGTTACTAAAAATGAAGTCGATCATTCATCGAAGCCACGTCAATTACGTTATACTCAATTAACTCTTTCTCTCCCTCCCCCTCACTCTCTCGCTCTCTTTATCTATCTCTTTCTTTGCTCCCCCCCTTTCTCTCTCTCTCTCTCTCTTTGGTGCACGCTCGCGCTTATCAGCATCAGCTGGCAACAAGTTTACGATTATTAACGTAAAGCACGCCCTGTCATGTTATTCAGCAACCTGTCATCCTTCAATAAAATCCTCAACGAAGGGTTGATCGTTGGTCGGTTCCACCTCTGGAAAATCACTCACGATGACGCGCTCCTATCGTATCGCTTCTCTGCAACTTTGCTCTCTTTCCTCTTCGGGAAGCGAAGGATGAGCGTGACGATGGAAAAGAGCGAGACGAGAGAGAGAAGGAGGAAGAGGAAGGAGGAATCTATCTCCGTGGCGAACGCATATCAATGTGTTCTTGTATTTAATAATAACGAGATGTCGCGTGTCTGCGCGTTTCTTTTTTGCTCGCCTCCGCATATCCTCGCCTCGTCAGCGCAAACGTTAAAATAATCTTCCCTGATAATTATGAGGACGGTAGCGGCTATAAACGGTTTTTGTTCTACCGTTCGAGAATCAGTCGGAGGCAGGTTGTATCTTTCACGAATCGCCTCCGTCACGTGGCCGATTTGTATCCTCAAAATATGATTATATTGATTGAACGAACTATATAGGGTTCACGCTCGTCTCGATCATCCGATTTTTGCCTGGTGGTGAACGTAAATAGCAACGTATAGACGTTTTTTGTATAAGGCCGCTATAAAAATTGAAGTCATCGATCTGCGTTAGTTACTTCATCATGCCGACGGTGCACCGCGCCGGCTTGAGCTATAACAGTAAAAAATTGCCTTTCGAGAATCCACGCTTCTCAAGTTATAATTTGGAGGTATAAATTAAGAAAGCTTTCTTCAACGTTGTAATCTCAAAGTATAAATTAAAGTTAATCGCTCCTTCGAACGCGAATATTCGAAATTCGGCGCTGGACTGCATTTTCGAGTTATAAACGCCAATCCCCGATATCTCTAAGGCGCGATGATATGAAAAATCCGGATTGAACATCGATCTCTTTCGTTATCATGTAGAACCGCATTAATCTTGTTCCCTTTTGTATGAAGAACCGTCAAGAGACCCGTCCCGTTCTCTACTGAACGTTTAAATAAAAGTCGCCTTTCGAGTTCCTAACACAACAATTACAAATTATTTTTACGTCAACATTCTTTGACCATTAATGGAGGCGCGAAGCAAAATTAAATCTCTGTTCTTTGTATTGAGGCAAAAATAATATTTTTATTTTGCATCAAGGTGAAATTAAATTCTTCATTTTGCATCGAGGAAATTAAATCCCCGCGTATTCTGCATCGAGGCAAAGAATTAAATTCCTCATTTTGTATGGATTATGTTACGATGTTAAAAGATGGAGCCAAGAGAGCCTGGCATCCCTTGAATCGCTTCCTGAGACGGCTGTACGCGCCGGTGGACCGCGCGGAGAATCTCTTCCTAAAGATGCGCAATCTCTCCGTCATGGCGAACCAGATAGTGTTCCTGATCCTGGCCGACAAGGTGCTGCTGCCGCAGCAGAGGCTGACCTGCCTGTACACGCTTATGTTCTACAACGTGATAGCCTACTGTGTGAGCTACATCAAGGAGCTGATCCAGAAGGAGGACTGGTCGCCATACGTCACCCTGACTGAGCGATCCAAGATCAAGCATCTCGCGATGTCGGCCACCAAGATCGTGCTCGAGTGGACCAAGGCGGTGACGTTCGTCGTCACACTGACCTTCATGCTTCTCGTGTTCGGACTGGAGCAAGGTCTTGATAACTACAAGTGAGAAACTTAATCGGGATCTCTGATCCACATAAATGATTAAGAATATCACAATTGTCCCTCTGCTTGTTATATAATTAATATTATTAAGTTTGCTTTCAATTTTTCGTAGATTTGTTGAGATAGTAATTTCTCTACTTATATTTTGTGTTTTCCAAAGAAAATTAATAATTCCGATTTGTATAATAATTAAGTATCTGTACACTGAAAAAAAATTTTTTTATATTTAAAAAGCCTTATTTGAATACTCCTAACAACATATTTACTTAATATAATCACATATTTATTTAGAATTAGATATCTTTACTTACTTTACTTAAATTAAGTAAAAATATCTAATTCTAAATAAATATGTGATTATATTAAGTAAATATGTTGTTAGGAGTATTCAAGTAAGGCTTTTTAAATATGAAAAAATTTTTTTTTCAGTGTATGTCTTTCTGATCTCTTTAATTATTTAATCTCAATATTTTGCAGACCCTCAATGATCTACACAGTGATCACGTGGATTTATTATTCGGCGACGGAGAAAGTTTTCGTCGAGATGTTCCCGACGATCCTGGGCTTCCTGCAGCTGGAAGCGTTGGAGAACATCGAGAATCTGTACGCGCCGGTGATACTTCGTTGCTTCACGATCGCCATGTCGGCGATCTTCAGCGTCCTACTGTTGCCGTCGGCTTCTTGGAGGTTCCTGATGGTCGCCACGTATCTGAACGTGTATCTGCGATGGAAGGAACTGGCGGCGAATTCGGGCGCGGTGCTGCGACGGGAACGCGAGGTGCTGAATCGCTACAGGAAGGCGACCGTCGAGGAAATCGAGAGGTTCGACGACGTGTGCGCGGTGTGCCTGTGCGGCATGACGAAGGCCAGGGTGACACCCTGCCATCATCTTTTCCACGCGGACTGTCTGCGACAATGCTTGAAGACCAGCGACAAATGTCCCATGTGCAAACGCGAGCTCAAGTTCGACTAGATTTAAACGACACGTCGGGAAATATATATACTCTTTTAATTGCCTCCAGAAAGATTTACGAGATTCTCGGAACACGCCGTGTCGAAGAAGACGAGGGAAGAGGGAGACGTATGTGGATGACATTTCGCGTCTGGAAGATTTACGCCGTCTTTTATATATTTCGATTTACGACGTCATTGGCGTCGAAAAGATTTACAGCGTCTTTTTAGTTTTCTGAAGGGTTTAAGAGAAGATTCAGGACGACATTCTTGAACCCTTGTATTATTCGAGGAAAGAAATCAAACAGAGAGGGAGGAAGAGCTTGCGATATTGTGGAATATCGGTAATATTCGCCTGGGGAATGCATGTTCCTTTAGATATACTTTACTGTGATATAGATCAACATCATACACAGAAAAAAAGATGTGTTAAATCAAGACTTATATACTTGTATACATATAAGCAAGAATCTGTAATCTTTTTATAAGAATTTCAACTTTTTTTTCTTAATTAAACTATAAAATACCTTCATTTAAACAAGTTTTCTTCGTTTAAGGCAATTTTTCTCATTTCAAGATTATAGATTTAACACTTTTTTTTCTGTGTAACTTTTAGGATTATACAAAAATATATTACACGTTATTATGTCGGTCAGTTCGTGACCGACACCTAATTCGTAACTTTAACCGGCGAATGGAAATACGCTTATTTTGTATTACTATCTTTCATTAATGTATCGTTAATGTAATGTTGGGGAAAAACTGCGAACTGCGTTATTTATATGTACATTTGTTAAGTATTTTTTCCATTGCGTTTTGCACGAATCAAAACAGCTTGTTACAATATGAAATAATGGAAAATTGTTTCGCAACAAATTGTCGATAGAGTTAATAGAGTAGGATTTTAAAATAGCGCAGTTTTGTACGCTACAATTTGTTTCTTAGAAATCGTATGAAGTAAGCTTGTAAAAGCCATATGATAATGCAATTAAGAAATCGAATAGTATTAAAAGATTTCTCTGTAGTCCTAATTCTCATATTCGACATGTAAAAACGTAGTCTAACAAAGCTTCATTTTCTCAGGAGTTACGGCAGATAGAATAAACTCTTATTCCACTGAAACTGTCAATATCTTATACGTTTTTTTTTTAAGTAATTTGTCGCTTACTTGAGCGGTAAATGAAAAAAATGTTTTTCTTCTTATATTAAAATGTTTATTTGCTTCTATCGCTTTCTATATTCTACCAGGAATTCATGTAACATTATTAAATGTATGAATTCATATTTCGAGCTGGAAATACATGTTGTATTTGTACGTATTCTCTATGTGTAAAGTGAAATCTCTCCAAATTCTTTTGTACAGCATCAAACGCTCATTCCTCTCCATCAAACTTCCGAGTGGTGTTTATATATTCGCCATCGGGACTGTCGTAATTTTCTATCGCAGGCGTTTTTAACGGACCTTTCGCTGTATACGGTAAAAGCCCTAAATCTATCTAAAAACATAGACGTATGAATTTAAATTATGCTGTAACAGATTCTTATGGAAAATTATTTATAACTACGGGACAAAAAGTAATCATGCTCAGTTTAATTCTCCGAGTAAAATTAATAATTACTTGTATCGCTTCTTGATACAGGTCTTCTGATTCCGCTCTCAGTTCGTCGAGTGCTTTTTGCTGCGAATAAAAGATAGAATCTATCGTCTGAACGGTAACCAAATGCTGTTGAGTTTTATATCTGTTCCAGTCCTTTTGCAACAAAACTCTGGACTCCGCTTCCTCTTCCGATATCGGCGGAAGCTTCCGCAGCCTTTGCCTTAAATCAATTTTCACAGTTAATATATCATAGATATAAGAACAATACAAAATTGTTCATTAATTATATTCATCCTGCATATAATTTGTCTCATACAATATGCTTGCGTGCATGAAAAACTTACTGCCTTTCATCTATTAATTTCGATGGCACTTCCAACTCGTCGACTGGTTTCAGTTGCTTAGCTTGCTTCTGTAACCTGCGAATTTGCTTTTCTAACTTCCTCTTCTTTCTTTCTTCTCGTGCCCTGATAATCGCGGGGTCTATTCTTTTCTTTTTCTTTAATGGTTCTCCTCTATAAAACGAATAAAGAGGATTACAACATGATTGTATATCGCTATAATATGTATGTAAGATACCGTAAGAAATGTTACAATGGCAACTTACAAAAGCGCGTTGCTAACTCTGAAATACAACGGATTGGTGCATGCCGAGATGTTTCGAACGCCAGGTATAGCGTGCACCGATAATCTGAAAGAAAAAACGGCAGATCAATTTTCGTGGGAAACTTACTTTAAGGGGATCCTAAAGACGTTTGTATTACCGACCGAATTCTATATCTGTCCTTGTATAGACAATGATGATAGACAAGGATAGACATGGTTATAGGTTATAATTTCTTCGAAGCTCTCATTTTTATTCCAGGCTTTCAATCTCAATTTCAAAGGTATGTTATTGTTTGTGCACGTCTTCTGAAGGGTGGGAACATTTCATTTCGTACATATTACTTATACAACTGTTTATATTAGAAAATGAGGTAACAACATTTTTAATTTTTTTCAATTATTACTAATTATTTTACATTCCCACCCTTCATTAGTACCTATACTTTACTCCTGTAAAAGGATTTTGCGATCTATAAAGCCGTTTCAAAATTAGACCTTTGACTGTAATTGTCGGTAATTGAGTCACTTTAGCATCCCCTTAATGTTGCTGTACAATCTACGGTCGAGTCACATCGACAACGTAAATCATGTTATCGAAACCAATTATTTAAACTATTATTTAATAATTTATTTCAATCAGTGAATTTAGATTAATATTATTATTTAGATAATTAAAATGTCATCGTGCGTAATTACCGCGATAACGCAGGCAACAAATTCAAGACGCTCATCCTCCTGTGGGATAACCTCCTCACACTTCTCACTTGCATGAAAACAGACCGAGGCCTGTTCGTTTTCGCTGCACTTCTGAACTAGTGCAATAAGTTAGAATGAAAGAAAATATATATTTGTTTCATTCTAACTTATTGCACTACGTTGCACCAGTTCAGCCAGTGTAGCTGGCCTCGGCAGCTCGGCAGATCAGCGCGATCGCCACGTTGCCTGGCAACCGTTTAACATTACATTGGACTGATTGGACGCGAATCGCCGTGCGAGTTCGTGACAGCTCTAGGCATGACATTATTAGAAGAAAGAAAACATCTATCGCGATGACGGACGAGGTGCGACTCGAGGTGATAAAGAAAACGCAGGATTTACTCGGGAAATATTTCAAGAAGCCGCCACTAACCGAAAAACTGCTCCGCAAGCCGCCGTTTCGCTTCCTCCACGATATCATAACAGCTGTAATTTATCGCTCATACAATGATATTTCAATATCTAAAATTCTTTCTATTTTTAACTTGTTTTATTTTTAATTTTTATACGGAGTATATGAACTTCCGCTTGCATTTAGGACACTCTATATGTACGTGAGCGAAAAAAATTGATTTCAGACCATTAAAGAGACCGGTTTCTTAGAAGGATTATTCAGCGAGGAAGAGCTGAATTCTGACAATATAAAGGACAAGGAAGCAAAGCTCGCTTTCTTGACGAAGCTCATTGATGTCGTCAGTCAGTATTTTAATTTTGTTCGATTATCACTTTATTATCGTTTTATCGCTAATTATATGATATTTAAATACATTATATGAATATTGTGTGTTTTAGAATTAATTTCGGGTGCTAATTTAACGGTCAGAGCAAGTAAAATTGTCTCCGGTCAAGAGCCGACGAAGACAAATGAGTTGCTGCAAGCCATTGGAAAAGCCCTTGATAAGAAGGTAATAAATTTTGCTGCTCAAATAGGATACGACTTTTAAAGTAATTAATAACGCGTCTGTGTGTGTTAGGTCAGTAGCAGAGAGGCGATTGAGCACTACAAAAAGAGCTTGGAAAAGAAAACAAAAGCTGGCTCAAAGTCAAGATCCACGATTAAGGAGGAACCTTCAAAGAATCCTGCATCGAGGCAGGCTTCGCAAACGAGAAAATCTTCAGAGAAAGACAAGATCTCGGCGGAACGAAAGAAAAGGTCGTCTAGCACAGGGAAAGTAGCGTCGGGCGAAGCAAAGCGCGATAAGGATGGCAGAACCGAAGAGAGCAAAGCGAGAAAAGGGAATGATAGAAAGAAGGAGGAAAGTTCGAAGAATATCGAAGCCATAGACATCCCGCCAGCTGAGGTAAAAATTCAAAGAAAAATGTCCATTTTCAATTCTAAATTCTCAATTCTCTATTCTCAATTAATTCTAAAATCGTTTAAATAACGGTGCCTTGGAATAAATATTTATTAAAGAGAATTAAGGTTCTATTTCTCTCCATTGTTTGAAATTCACGGACTATTTGCTTACTCCATAATTAAAATTAATTTTTCTATTTGTTTCTCAAACGTGTATTTTAATTAACACGCTCGTATTTACATCTTACTTTTATTGTATTCAGCCGGTACAAAATAAAATTCCCACCTCGGCGCAAAGAAGGAGGCCTTCTTCGTCCGCCAAGGTGAAGCAGGATGCCACAATTTCAGATGCGAATGGCCTGACGAAGGAAGAACAAGCGCAACGTAGGAATTCCTCCAGTAGAGCAAGACGCACAGCAGAAGTAAATGGGTCACAGGAGAAAATAGGTAATACGACTTTACAGACATCTTCTAACAATGAAGAGCAAAATAAATCGGTAACGAGCGGTTACACTAAAGAGACTAAGGAAAATGAAATGGAAGAAGACAACTCGCGGCAACAAAGCGTTGAAAAAAGCGATCAACCAACGTCAGAGCTTGCGGGATCTCAAGTCGAAACTACTGAAATGACGTAATGTTCTGTTCTATAAGTTCGTTACGGATAACAAAGTGATATCGAGATGCGATAGTAATATTAAATTCAACGTTTGTTTTAGCGTTTTGCAACAATCAGATGCGAGACCCAAAACATCCCTGAGACCACCTAGTGCCAGACCCATCAGTGCTAGGCCAGCTGCTCCCAGAATGAGAGCAAAGACGGAGATGATAGTCAACGAGGAGATACAGTAAGATAAAGATTTAATTTATATTGTACAAAAAATTTTATTACATTATAAATAATTTCGAAATACGATTGCAGAACACCAGTGGGGAATATTAGTGTCATTGTAGAGGATTCCGACTTGAAGGATGACGACGACGACGACGACGCGGAAGATATGGTGGTGATGGAAGCGAAGGGAAGTGGCGGTGACCTCTTAGAGAACGGCGATTACAAGATAGACAATCAGTTGATGCAGGAACACGGGCATCTCGTGGCGCAAATATTAGAGACTCAGCGGGAATTGGTCAACACAGACAATGTCGATGTATTGCCGAAGAAAGTCGACATCGTAAGAATCAAAATACATTGCCATTACTTCTACTTCCGAGTCGTGATTGCTGTCGCAAAATGTTGAATAAATTGTCATTAAATAAATGCATTTTGGCACAGGCGTGGGAATCGGGTTCGAAACGCGACCGAGAAACAGCGGCTAAAGAAATCGATAAATTACGCGGAACTATACAGACATTAACGCGCACGACAAATCCTCTGGGGAAATTATTGGATTACGTGCAGGTAATATATATTTACACACAGTCTTACATCTTAATTACAGTCACTTTAACGAAACTAAATTTGATGTCAGGAAGACGTAGAGATGATGCAAAAAGAACTATTGGACTGGAGAAATCAGTATCGCCAATTGAGCGAACAATTGGAAGGAGAACAAAAGTATGTACAAAAGTACACATGATACATGTATAAAATTAACAGTGAATAATTTTAATAATTCTTTATACTGAAAATTAATATAAAATTTTTTTTTTAGGGAGACTCAAGAGATGATAGAACCCATGAAGGAGACATTGAAAGAAATTGATAACAACATGAAGATTGAGTTAGATAAGATATGTCAGGTAAAAGCGCAAATGATGAAAAATGATCAAAAAATACGACGATTACTTAATGGTAATTTATAATGTAATTATATTGTTTATATTGTAAATAATTTTATAAGCCATTGAAATATATAATTGGTTGTTCCACCATAAATTACGTAGCTTAGAAGAAAATTTATAAACAATTTTATATACGTAATTTTTTTATTTATTAATTATATAACACTTGAATATATGTATAATATCTATACAATATGTATAATATCTATACATTTCTTGTAAATATTATTTATTATTTACACGTATATGTTAAAATATAGGTGAAATTTTTATAAATCTTGTATCATACATAATTTTTTTTTCTCGGAACTCTGCGATCATAAAATGATAAAATATGAATAAATATTTGAACACAATTTAATGAAAAAACGATTTATTTTCATTTGTCCGAAATATAACCGTCCATTACAATACTCGAGCTTACCTTTATCGTATGCAAAACTTTTTTTTATTAGAATGTCTTAAATCTCATATTTATTCTGTAAGTCTGTAACTTCTTTCTCAGGTATCTTCTCAGACGTATTACAATACGAAAACATAAGTTTCAGATCTAAAAATATTTTAAACCCCATATTAAAATACTTTAAACCATATATTTTAAATTAATCGTAAAAAAATTCAATTGTTATACACACCTTGCTTTTCTGAATTAGTGATGAACATAATAAATGCTCTAAACCTTTTAACATTACTGAGATCTTTTAAATACGAGAATATAGGTTCATTGCGTTTCATAAATTCTGTTTTCAGTGTCATTAAGATATCGCTAAAAATATCACTTTCCATTGAATCTCGAAATATTTTTGGCAGGCTGCCTAATGGTATTTGCTGAAAGAAAAAAAATTGAATATAGCTTATACTCTTTGTGTGCAAAAAATTGTTACTTACCTTTAGATATCTGTATCGAAAATCGAATGAGGTATATTTTCTCCAATTTAATAAAAACTGCACTGCATTTTTCGGGATGGGAGGCATTTCTTTAAAACTTTCAATAAAATTTTCTTTCGGTTTACATGTTGCAACGTTTTCCTTTTGTTTTGTAATATTACCAGGATGTACGTATGATAATTCTACGTGTTGATTTTTACTACATGTTGCTTTAATTTCCTCTTCGAATGATTTAAAAGGTTTGGTTAAATCAGCCACCTGTACAGGTATTCTCTTCAATGGCTCCTAATTAAAATAAAAGATTTAGCTATATTGTTACGCATATTTATACATTATATCTAGAAAATATATTAGCGCAGATTTACTTTTGAACGTAGATGAGGAGGTTTGTCAATAGGCTCCACAATTTCAACATTATCCTTTTCGGGAAGCCAATCTGGAATGCGTCGGTCTTTCTTCGATTCTGTTACACTTGTTGCACTTCCGGTTGTTGGTTTTACAGTATTATCTACATTTGCGCTACTCTTTTTATTTGTATCCTTCTTAGTGTCTATTACTTTATCATCTTTCTTTTCATGATCAGACACGTCAGCTGTACGTACGTCTTTTACAGACATAAATGACTAAAAGAAGAAAAAAGTATAATTTATAAATATCAATTTAACCCAATAATAATAAAGAATACATACCTTTCCACTTCCAAACTTCTCAAGTTGACTAAGCAAGATCTCGGTTTCTTTACTACAAGGTTCCAGCTCTGCAATCTTCTGTATGTCATCCATTGCCTCTTTGTATTGCTTCAATCCTAGTCTGGCCGTCACTCGTCTGTGATAAGCCTTCACGTAAGTCTTGTCCAGTTGTATCGCGGACGAGCAGTCTGCTTCCGCCGAATACAAGCTGCAACATAGTAATATTTAGTAGCTGTTACATGTAGATAATAGAATTAATCGGTTTATTGTACGCTTAAAATGTAAAATTTACTTCTCTTGCTTCAAATAGCAAAGCGCACGGTTAGCATAAAAGATAGCGTCATAAGGAAAAATTTTTATCGCCTCGCTGTACGAAGCGATTGCTTTGTCCCATTTCTTTTGTTTCACGAAATCATTGCCTTGCTGCTTGTACTCTATCGCTTTGATGTGGTTATTTTCCAATTCTTCCTTGGATAAGATTTCCTCAAATGACTCGTCCGATTGTTCCGCATTGTCTACTTCCTTGCACGCTTTGTTCTGTATAATTTGTTATAAATATATTTCAAGTCTTGAGAGTAGAACTAGTATAACTTAACGTAAATAACACCGCTTACAATGTCAAATTTATCCCACGACGTGTAGTCATACGATTTTATTCGTTTAGAATTTGTAGACGTTTTCATTTCTTTTATCTCACATTTCTTTTTATTTTTGCTTCTGACAGGCGGTATAATTTGCTGAAATGTGTAATATATCTTACTATTTAACAAGTTAAAATAGTTAAATCGTAAACATCATAAATAGCCAATGTTTGAGTCAAAATAACATAATTTTTCACATATAAAATTAATATTTAAATCTTTCTCTCACAAATCATAAATCAATAAACTCGCATTATTATTTATTCCCCAACATTATTTATTACTTCTCTATTTGCGAAAATACCTGGCCAATGCGTTCATTCAGTATCTTTTGCTCTTTGCGTTTCATTTGCTCCTCCCAATTTTTCAAGTCTAGCAATTCGCTCTGCAGATCCTCTGAATTATCCCGCACCTGTTTTTGCATCAATATAGAATTGTCAAGAGCCATGGTAAAAAGAAACTCACGAAATAGCAATAGCGTCTCGTATTGCGTTTCGGTCGCCGACAACGACAGAAATGTTAGGTTAGAATTATTTCTCACAAACGGAATATGATGCCGTCAAATATCTCATGTTATCTTCAGAAGATATAAATCGTCATTTACATTATCGACACGCTTACGTTTTAATTTCTATTTGTGAATTCTCAGAGTTGTGTTGCAAGATAACGCCACTGTTCACTCATTTCTGTTGCAACAGACTACTGCAGCATTGTAGAAAGTGTTGCATTCTTATAGGCGAAACTGTTCGATAAATTATATTAGAAACGATTCAGAAAAATTACATGCACACTTACAAAAAATATCTATAAAAATTAAAACATTATTAATAAAAATATAAAAATTGAAATATATATTAAAGGTATTATTTAAATAATAAAGATAGATTGAAATTTATAAAATCCACATAACTGACTTAAATAAGGAATAAAAGTGTTTTTATGTTACAGCTTATTAAAACGCTTTGCTCAGAATTCAGTAACATTTTCACAACTGCAAAAGCTTCTCGATGTGTGAAATCATTATAGAATCGCTTCTTACTGCAGACAACATACACGGAGAGTCTAAGATATATATTGCAATCGCAAAGACATCTGAAAAATGTTCTATGTCGTTAAATTTAATTAAACTAATGAAGTTAAAATAAAATACTACTTTGTGTTAAAATAATTAAATTTGGACACACATGGAGTTAAAAATAACAAAATGTTATTTAACTTAAGATATCGATTTAAATTTCATCCTTTAATATTTAACAGCGGGTACCCTCGGCATCACTCCTCGCGGGGGGAGGGGGGGTGACTTCGCACCTTCGCGGGTGCAACCGGGCGCGGTGGCACGCGCGATCTACGGACGCCGAGCTTGACATTCGGCCCTTTTTAGATCTTGGGCAACTGCCATCGCGATTACGATCGCGCCCAGCTGCAAAATGTTTAATATCCCGCCGACCGCGCGACTTATACATTACCCTCGATTCACTCGCGGCTCGCGGCTAGCGGCCACCAGTTCGCCGCCGACGAGCGCCAAGTGCGCACCCGCGACGTGATGCCTCCTCTCTAATCTCTCTTGGTCCCTCACGAGTCGCGGACGTCGCGGTGGCCCCCTTTATTTCCTCGCGATCTTCAGCAGAACCGCAATTCTCGCGATCCTCGTAATCGATCTCCCGCACAAAGCTGAATCGCTCCGACGCAATCCGTCTCGATTCCGTGGCGTCCTCAAATCTCGGGAAGATCTCGAGGGGGACGTCGGAATTTTTTTGAAGAACTCTGAATAGCCGCAGTGCTTGAGAAGCGACGGCTCTACGAGTCGCAAAAAGATTTTGAAATTGCAAATAAAAGAAAGCACGTGGACTAGAAACACTGACAGTTACAAGTAGAATATCAAGACAGAAGAAATTTTTCATCATCAGAATCGATATAAAATTGCACACACATCTGTCATTTTGATATTTATCAGACGTTAAGAATTAAAAAAAGCAATTTTTAGTGATTTGTGAAAGCTACGTACATTTAATAACTGCCAGTTTTTACATCCATTTTCGGAGCGGTGCTAAAGTCATTTGCGAAACAGTAAAATTTTAGAAGAAGATTGCCGATAGTCTCTATTTGATTAATTTAATCTCGAAGAGTGGAGTAAACATTCAATTTTACTCCAAAGTGTTCCCAAACAGAGAAAACAAAATTGAGAATTAAGTTGCATTAAATAACGCGAAAGAGCCGCGAACGTCGATATTTATTATCGTTGACCGCTAACGAAGAGACTCCAGAGTCTCCAGATTGATTCTTCAAATTAACTCGCCACTCCAGCCAGTTGATTTCGTGAATCACACAGCCGGAAGGGACTCCGTTGACTCGCGTGTATCAATCAAATTCTCTTCGACGATTCGACGCGACGACGCGGAAACGGTGAGCGTATAGTGTGCCCGAGTGAAAAATGGTTTTGCGCGAAAAGAAGGAAGATAACAAGTGCGCTAGTTATGGTTGACAAAGTATGTTACACGGTGAGTATGTCACAAACTGTCGTGTCATAAATATTGTTTTTTCTCAGTGCATTATTCTTTGCACGACACCGAAAGAATAAGATCGTGGCGACGTCGAGGCGCGCTTCTTCGAAAGTTGCATACCAAGTTCGGATGAGGTAAAGGCAAGATCGGAAGTCGGAATGCGGATTTACGCGGAGAGACATCAGAGAGAAGGAAAATTTGTTTATTGATATAATTTATGTGCCGCTTCTCCGCGAAGCTATAAATATTTACAAGGATGTTTTCTTCGTGCATTTATCATCCGTCCGTCACCACTTAACGTCCGCACGTGATGTCTGATTTTACAATCGCAAGCTGTCCGTACATACAAGTAAATGCGATTGATTCACTAATTAATAATTCTACGGTACATTGTTAGAAATGATTATAATAATTTACAAAAAGTAAGTCTGAGGATAATTGTTTTTATGTTACTAAGTATTTTTCCTCTTGCTATTAGATGCTGCTTTATAATATTTTAATAATAAAATTGTTAGGTATTTTATATAATATTTTATATAATATAACGATAGAATTTATAACTGATAATTTATGTCCATGTGTTCATTAAAGCGAGTCTAGACACGACCTTGGCCGATATTCAAAATTTTATTTTACCTAGCTACTTATGGCTACGTGTAAGACTGAATAATTTACTGTTTAATTAAATTAAATCTTTAGCTTTGCGATGACGGTGTTTGATATTTGAAAAATAATTTGAGTGCGAATATCGAGTTGTTTGTTATTTAATAAATATAATAATCAAAATATATATTAATCCTATAATCCCATACTATCATTGACACTTTGAATATATAATTAGTTTTTCATGCTATGATTTTATCAATTAAAATAAATGATTAAAAACATGGTTGACGACTTTCTTGTATAAAGCTAAATATATTCATGTTTTTTTTTTAAATATGATTAAAAGGAGTACGTTATTAAGTTTTTTGTACCTATAATGCAATAACATTTGTATGTGAATTGTATGTTGCTTATTTTATGAAATTTTTCTTAACCCTAGAATCCATGATACATTTTTTTGACCTTCTAATCCATGACTGGGGGCAATATCGACCCCACGCTTTATTTGATCGTAAAACCGGTCCTACAGAAATAAAGGGCCTTTAAACCTACATGAATTTCTTCGTTTTTTAATAACGAAGAGAATGGTATACGGTAAATTTAATTTTACTCAAGTTTAGTTAGTGAAAAATCCATTTAAAGACTGAAAAACGCAGAAAATCAGCAAAAACCTCTTTTTTTAAACAAAAATTTGTATCTTTTTTTGTAATCAACCGATTTTAAAATTTCAAACGGGGTTTTAAAGAGGACACATTAGACTATTAGAAAAAAATTGTCATCGCTATGTTCTGTTCAAAAAGTATATTTATTTGGGACTATAAAGATGAAGAAATTCGCAAAGTTGAAATACGGAAAAAGTCGATGAAAAAACCATAAAAAATTGTATTTTAAGTATTATTTCATTTTTATTTGATACAAAATAGTAAAAAATATGAAAAAAATGAAACATTATATCGCCCAGCCATTTTCTGCGAAATGTCAATCTTCTTAGGCAACGGGATTTTTACCGACTAAATTGTGTGATATTTCGTCTTAAATAATATTTATGACTATTTATGCTCAGATTACGTAATAATACATGATATATATTGATTCTAGCGAAAAAATAAAATTAGCTTACCGTGACGAAACTCAAACGGCAAGTCACGACTGGGGTCGATATCGACCCCACGCCCGCTTTACGACTGTGCTACTTCACTGCTAGCGAACAACTAACGCTGCGCCCGACATAACCCTACTTTTAGAAAGTTGAAATGAATTATGGTTCAGGTCCTGAGTCGATAATGTCACTCGCTAGCTCAGGAGCGTAGTTCAAAGTTCGCCTGGGGTCGAAATCGACCCCAGTCATGGATTCTAGGGTTAAAGACAACATAATAATCGCAATAATAAAGAAAACTACTTATTTTTAATAATTTTTAAGGTAACTCTTAAGAGATATTAACGCAGCACGTTGAAACCATTCGCAAAATTATTGTCCAAGTACTGAACACGACCTAAACTCAATCTCTATATATTAAAGCATAATTGAAAAGGTACACCTTCCCTAGCGCGGAGGAGGTGTGCTTCTTCTAGAAGAAATACCAAATTCCGCATTTCGTCAAAGGCCGTGATTCTCTCGTCGCGGGTATTTTCAGTAAGGTCACGCGGAAATGTAGCGCGACGGTCAGACGATCCGTCAGACACAGTCGACGACATACGACATCGTGTGTCGCACACGCGTGTTATTAACAGCGTCATTGCGCTCGCGACAGTTAACTGCACAAGCGATGTGACATAAGGATGAAAGCTTACTACACTGGGAATAAGGTATTCGTTCCGGTTGCATATGGATTCAAAGCGAATCGTCTTGCGTACTTTATGCAACAGCTGACCGATTCAGAGGTGCCAGGTGCCAGACGCGCCGATGGAGACGGTGATCTCGAGGGAGGTTAGGTTAGGTTGAAAGAGAGGTATATATGAAAGAGAGAAAAATATGCTTTCATATCTAAAATCGTCTATAATGAAACATTAAGCTGTTATGGAGAGTATTTTTAGATCCGCGTTAGCTTTTAATTTTAATAAGTTTATTTGAGTAAATGTAATTATAAATAATGCTTAAGATTGCAATCATTGTACAATGTTCCTCTTAAGCATCCTTTTTAAAAAAGCAGGATCTTTCTTCATATACTTGAAATCTCTCTCTCTCTCTCTCTCTCTCTCTCTCTCTCTCTCTCTCTCTCACGCGAGAAAGAAAAAGATAATCGTAAGAATTGCAGAGACGATATAGGCGGATCGTCTCTCACATGCTTGAAACATTTCAGAAGTCAAACAATAACAAGTGAAGTGCCAAGCACTTCTGGCTGAGCTTCGAGATGCATTCCCGAGGTGTCGATCGACAAAGTGCATGCTAAAGTGCGGCCGCAAAGGTCGCGCGCCCGGAAATCTCGTGCAAATAAGTGTGTTTACCCAGACACTTCGTGGTTACTTCGATATGCAAAAGTTATATTTACCATCGCATTACTGGCGCGATTCCCGAGAGACATTACAACTAGACATTATTTACGATGAGTTTCCGTGAGAGCGAAAGAGAGAGGAAAAAAAATTGCGGTCATGCCGGTATTCTCGGTTCTCGGGTTCGCTGTTTGGCAAATGACGTCTCGCTTGTGACGCGAGCAACCGTTTTTAGCGTCATATCGGTGCAACCTGAAACTGTGCCGCTCATAACTATGACGAAATAAGCATTTAAAGCGCACATAAAGCGGGAATACGGATTTCCAAACCCAGTCGAACGAAGTGAAACTTAAGAAATCGATAAAAATGGAAAAAAAAAGACGAACTCCTGGAATTAAATTAATCAATGTAGGAATTAAATGTTAACACAAATATAAATCGCATACCTTTTTTAAATATTTAATTAGAGCTACGATATATTTTTATGCAATATGGAATTATAAAAAAAATATTTGTTGATTAAGTGTTTTAATTATTTAAATATTAAACCGTGGAAATCTGATAAAAAATGATTTTATCGATTGCCTTAGTTTACTTCACCGAGTTGTATTCTCATTGAGTCCTTTCTACCGCAAATTACGACGATTTTGATTATTTGCGCAACATGGGCATATAGACGGACAAATTTAGGCTTAGATAAATCCGTTTTTAGTCAGCACTTCGCGTTCCGCAGAATATTTCTGGCGAATGATGCGGATCACGCGTGCTGCGACGTGTCACACCTCACACACCGCGACGATTTTGCATCGCGAGACAAATCGCCGCTCTCGTCGAGTGGATCTCTCCTCTCTCGTTCTGTTCGGAAAGTTTGGCTCGGCGAACGATCGTAAACTGATTTTTAACTCTCGACAAGACTCAACAAGATTAAAACTGAAAGCGAGGAATAGACGCGCGTAACATCTTCGTGGAAAAGTTGCGGAACGTTTTACGATAAGACAATTTAAATGTCCATTGCCGCAAGTTGCGGTGACGAAATCTCGCCAGCACTGGATATAAAACAGCTTAAATAGTTTAACCATTGGCAAAAATTTGATATTTGCGTGGACGTCGTGCAATAAATATCGGCAGATTTGCATAACAATATTACTATCAATGTAATAATCTGTCTTTTGAGTAATTATACTCATCAATTTGTAGGAAATTCTTAGCTATTTGATTTGATGTTACTATACTTGAAAATCGGTCCAACCCTTGTTTGGGTCGTGATAAAAAAAATTAGGAAATGGGATTACGGAATGTGAAAAATGTAGTAAAATGCTATATTTATGTTAACAGCCAACAGAAAAATCACTTCTCATGACAGGTATTTCGCGATGGCTCAAAATAGACACTATATCTATATTCTACACCAGAATACCCAGAATACGAGCCCATTTCGATGCAATAGCCCACCTTAAAATAGAGATTGCATAGGAGAAACGAAAAATAAAATTCCCAGATGCTAGGGTGTATTGAAACGAGATCTTATCTTGCGTACTATTCCTATTGTCTATTATTTCGCTTTATAGAAATTAAGTAGTATGGAACTATTTATTAATTAATAATTAACGCATTTATTAATCTATTATTAAAATAAAGTTGGATGTCAAAAATAGCGACATAAAATATTCCAAAGATTGAACACACGTCGCGGATTTGCAACTGCAGTACGATTTCCCCTCTCCAGGTACGACAAGCAAAAACTTCTGGAAGTATGAGTGACAACGTGCTCGCGAACGCGTCGTTCTCGAGAAGAAACTGGCACGGTGCTTCTGAATGGATAAAAGATGACGGTCTCTTATCAATACGAGGTCGCCAGTTCCACCAGCGGTGGATTCACCAGGCTCCTGCTTATGTGGCGCGGTTCCCTTTACAAGCTCATTTACAGGGAACTGCTGCTCTATCTGCTTCTCTTCGGTATTTTGTCCGCGCTCTATCGCCATGCCTTCACTGTCGCGCAAAAAAGGTGGACATCCCGATGTCTTAAAGCTTATATAAATATATATAAATCTATAGAGAATAAATTATTCTGATATCTGATATTAATTTTATCTATCAAAAGTATTAGAATATATGTAAAAGTTTCACAAATATATGTAAAGTTTCTTCTAACGTTAACTAATTCGCGCATATGTTCGCACGTTTTCTGTTCTCTCTTGAAACGCTTCAATGTGACCAATTCTTTTTTGATCATCGAGGATTACTTATAACATACCTATAATGCGTTACAGAGAATTCGAGCAAGTTGTCATTTACTGCGACAGCTTGATCAAACTGATCCCGCTGAGTTTCGTGCTTGGATTTTATGTGTCCTACGTGGCGCAAAGATGGTGGAAGCAATACACAGCGATACCGTGGCCCGACAAGTGAGTTCGGATGCAGTTATCATATATAATACGTTCCAAATTTTTAATTAAATCTCCTTTTTAAAGATAGAAGAAATTATTTCTCTTTGTTTTTGAAAATAAAGCTTGGAAAATGGTTTCAAAAAAGCCCAAAATAAATACGACTCTCTTTCCGTAAACTTCTTTGTAAATTCTTCATTGTTTTTCTTCTTCCGCAGAGTGATGCATCTCGTGGCACTCTACGTCACTGGAAACGACGATTACAGTCGGATGCTGCGCAGAGCCCTGATGCGTTACTTAAACCTCTCGCTGATACTCGTGCTACGTTCCATAAGCTCGGCGGTGAAGAGACGATTTCCCACTCTCGATCACGTCGTTGATTCTGGTAAATCGCAGTATCGGCATCGCTAACGTCGTCCCGGTGGCAATTAAAAATTAACGAGCTTGTTGCAGGCTTCATGACCGCGCTGGAACTCCAGTTATATCAGTCGGTGCCAAGTAGCGAGTTTAACACCTATTGGATACCGTGCACATGGTTCATTAATCTCCTCAAGGAGGCACGCAAGACCCATCGGATATCCGATGCGCAAGGTTTAAAGCTAATAATGGAGGTGCAAATTAATTCCATGCGTTCTTCCCTTGACTTTCTCACTCGTTGCTTAAAACTTGACGGAGAAATTTTTCTTCGATCACGAATTACGAATCGAAAGAGCAATTCTTTATCCAACTGTGGACATTATTTTATATAAACATTGATAAAAATATAATGCTCTTTCAATGCTGTTAAAAAGAAAGAAACTAAAATCACGTAAAATTGCTTTCTTTATATTATTTAGCTTTTTCTTAAAATTTGCAACAAAAATAGGAAATATTAATTTAAGTTATCATATTATTTTGAAGACATAACCGTCCGTATTGAGCATATAATTTTCGATTTTTTGTTCGTTTTTATCATGTTGGTTCGAAGCGCAAAGTACATGATACGATACGATTGTATACTGCGGTAACCAGAAAATCAATCGTACGGTTAGAGAAACGATTAGATTTTATGGGTAGCTGCTGTGACGGCACGTCAGTATACGGCGATTCGAAATACATCGTAAACCGTGTCGCAGTCTATCAACTACGTTTTTATTTTCCGCGATTAGGCACGCGTGTCTCAAGCGCATTATGCGCTCGCACGAATATCTTGCTGTTTCTTTTCTTCATGTGTTTCGAAATAAAAGCAACAAGCAGGATTCAATCTCGGTGTGTCAAAAACATACAATAAATTAATCAGTAAATATGACGTACATACAAGCAATTTAGAAAAGAAGAAGCAAATATGTTTTTTTCGTTTTGTATTTATAGTCCGTTATATATCTCAGCATCGTTTATTTCGATATCACAATTAATTAAATCTTTTATACACGATTGCTTAAATAATATTTATTAATCGACGTAAAATTCCTCTTATGATCTATAAGATCAATCTCCTTTGTAGGAATTCAATGAGTTTCGGACGAAGTGTGGACTCTTGTGGAGCTACGACTGGGTGTCGATCCCTTTGGTGTACACTCAAGTGGTGACACTCGCCACTTACAGTTTCTTCGCGGTCACCTTGATCGGCCGACAATATATCGATGTCGCCGAGAGACAATATATCGAGAAGCAGCAATTCCAATTAAAGATAGACAAATACGTGCCCATCTTTACGATTCTGCAGTTCTTCTTCTTTATGGGGCTGTTGAAGGTAGCCGAACAGTTGATAAATCCTTTCGGTGACGACGATGAGGATTTCGAGCTGAACTGGCTGATCGATCGTCATACCAAGGTAGGAGCACGTCGATCAGTTGTCTAGAAATAGTTATTTGTGTAACAAGTGCTGTAAGATGGAAATTGGACGTGCGGAGTGGACGCATGAGCCGGAGGCGAGTGCGATCACCCGCACGTCCAATTTTCAACTTAACACACGTGTTACACACCCTATTTTATGTTGCAAATGCGTGGAAAGTGGTCTATCACGCACGCGTCGCGTGCGTAATAGGCCACTTTCCATGCACGTGTGACATAAAAATATTTAGGGAACACCACGCGTTCACACGTGTACTTATGCGCGTATATTAGGTATCGTACCTCGGAGTCGACACGCTGATGAACCGCTGTCCGCCGCTCGTCAAAGACATCTACTACGACTCCGAAAACGTGAGTCTGCCGTATACGGAAGCGGCCGCAGCGTACAAGAAGAAGACCTATCGCGGTAGCGTAGCGAATATGACGTTAGTATCACGTACATCGCAATATTTGTTTCGAGCCAGAACGAATTAAAGTTACTTGATTTGAATTAATTTTGATTGCGCAGTTGTTTCTAAAGATCTCGAGGGAGATACAATTTTTCGTGAGATCTCTAACCGTTTCAAGTATGAAGACTTTGAATGCTATGTTTTGTGACAAATTGCGTTAGTTTTTTTCCTCGGTCTTTTCAGGGTACCCGAAGAAAAACAGATGATGTTCTTGCCCGGAATTTTGGAAGAGGAGGAAGAACGTACGACAATTCTGACACCTCGCACTTCCACCGTCAGTTTAGCGAACCCGAACGACAGTCCGATGAATGAAAGGCGGTAAGATTGTAATTGAGGTGCATTTTGATGTATCATAATTCTCATTTAGATTAGATAAATAAAGTGTAGTTGAAACTCTCTTCTATATAAAAATAGAATTAGGTAAATAACTGTAGTTACTTTGACGACAAAGAGTTATATTCTCGACGCACCCTTTCAACTTTCAACGTGTTTTTATTTCTTTGTCAAATTACAGATAGTATGTTTAAACATTTTAAATAAAAAAGTTACATAAAGTTACGTGAGTTACTTAAAAAAAGTCATATAAATTTACTTTTAACATATTTTTTTCTCGTGTAAGAAAACTAATACTTATATGTATATACGTAAGGCATTTCAAAGTTTCTTTTCTCCTATCTTGTTTCACTACCAAATCAAACAAGGAACTCTATTAAGTTAGACTCGTTTGTTTCAGCCAGATCAGCGGGTCCCCTTCAACATCTGCGAAGATGGCTCGCAATTGTTCCGAAACGGTTGTGCAGCTGGATGGTCAAGAGCAGCCACCGCCCGAAGTGCAGCAGCGACGGGTAATCGAGGCTGTACGGAAGTTCTCCTCCTTGAAGAGTTCGACATCTCGCGCCGGAAAGTCCTTTTTCACGGGTCTGACAAGACCGCCCAGATCGACGTTGCCTCCTTGGCCAAGCGCAACGAACATTTCGCGCCCCGTTCAGACCTCGTCGAATCCGACGCAAATTCCCACGTCGGCCATTGTCGAGACCGGAGGCCTCTGGAGGAAGGACTCGTACGGTTCGAGGAAGAACCAGCATCGTCGGTCTTCCGTGGAGGATTCCGAAGGACGACCCAGCGTCTCGTCGCAGGGCGAGAAGAGCCAGGAAGGTGTCGTGAACTCGGCGTTCGCCGAGGAGAGGATAGCCGAGGTGCCGGACATCTGCGACTGCGATGACACTGAGGAAGGTGACGATGGCTCGTGGTCCAGGTCTTCACAAACGTACGGGCAGGTCGTCTGTCAGCAATCATTGACCCGAGAGACGATCGATATGTCCGTGATCAGCGGCGAACCGAGTAGTTCGAGGATCGACAGTTCTCCGAAGTACCTGATGACCAGTCGACCGAGAAACCGGTCGACAAGCGATTCCAGGAAAAAGGGTATTCAGTGGCGGTCGAGATTATCCGGCAGACCGTTGAAGTTCCGCAGAAGAACCACCGACAGTATACCCTCGGTGGCCAAGGTCCTGAGTCAGGCCTGGAGCTCGCCGAATCTGAGGATCTTGGAAGAGCAGGCGAAGACTGCGCAAATAAGTGTCACAGTTAATCCTCCTTGTAAGCAGGAAGATTCTAAGTTATAAATAATTGTAATATATTTGGGCGATGTTTCTTTCTCTGTATCGAAATAGAGAGATGTAAACTTAACAATCTTAAAGAAATCTTACTAGCGAGATTCTTTTGTAGAAAAATTATATGTCTCCTGAACTATTTTCGATTACTATAATTATTCAAAAATTTATTTGAAGTAGTAATATAATTGACAATGATATTCGTTGGTTTTTGACTAGCGACATAAAATGTTTTGCCTATATTGGTTTAATTTAATTATGATTGTGATTGTGTGAGCAAGTATCAGCGCGCACTTGTGGTCGTTATGTTTATGTAAATATTGTAAATATTATAATAAATATAAAATGTATCATAGAAATAAAACAATTATGTAATTATTTATTTTTGGAATAATTTATTGAGCATTGTCGACATATATTGTGACACTATATTTAATTCTTAAAATTTAATTTAAAATTTTTTAGCAGAATTAAGCGTTTTTTTATCCGTAAAATATTAATAATCTACATCTATTACGCGTATACAATGTATTATGTTTAACGTGTTATCTATGTAAATATAAATGAGTAATCTATAGTGAGAATCATCCAAGATTTAATTCGCTACCGAGGCCCCCCAGACAGCACATGTCCAAAATTGGAACATAAGGTTTTATGCTGAATTGACATTTCTGCATCCAATAAGAACGTTCAACGTGGCATCTTTTACCACGTCGCTCTTCCCGCAACGCTCCCTCCCCTCGGAGAGAAAGATGAGAGTGCCCGCGTTTTGTCTGTACCCGAATTCGATTTGTCGGTATGTGCCCGTTTTTGTGGTTCTCTTCTGTGCTATGTCCACGATTTTTTTATTCTTTTTGGGAACAAAACCAAAAAATCGTGAATCTAACGGAAGAGAACCAAAAAATCGTTGATATTACGCGGGTATGACAACTTTCATCTTTCTCTCACCTGGTATTAGGGAATTAAGGGACACACTTCATCTCTATATTCCTATACCTAATACCTATGCCCGTTCTAGACTGGAGGATGAGCCGACTCTCGGCTCATCCGAGTGAGTGGTGTAGACGGGTAAAAATCTATAGGTTATGTATAGTTTATGTCACGTACACTATAGAAGGCGGATGAGCCGAGAGTCGGCTCATCCTCCAGTCTAGAACGGGCATGGGATAATATATGGGATAATCGAACCAAATCGAACCCAGTCAGGGCTGCGTTCAGAAACGTCACCTGGGTATACACGGGTATACTCCCTTCTCCTTCTAACTCGCTGAGATAGAAAGAGAAGGGAGTATACTCGTGTGCACTCGGGTGACGTTTCCGAACGCAGCCCAGGGCGTCAGGGATCGGGAGTCATTTCACCAAGAAGAGGAGAACTTCATCACGTGAAATCCTAACAATTGTGTACTACGAAGCCAATTACTATTCATAATTAGGTAGACTGTAGACTACCTATTGTCGATGTTCTATCAACGCCACATAAAATGAATATGGAATGCCCGATTTGTAGCGATTTTTTGGTACCATCCGACGATGTTTTTCACACACCATGTGGACACATTTTTCACTTCGCGTGCTTAATACAGTGGCTAGAAAGGTAAATATT